TTATTTTTTCTTGTCTGTCAGGTTATAATCAAATAATTATAGATGAGAGAAAATAGAAAAAAGGCATGTTCACAGTCTACATGATAAATAACATTAAAATATTTTATATCAATTTAAATAATTTCATTTATTCATTAAATGGTAACATTCAAAATCAGTCTAGTTTATGTTTCAGGCAATTTGCCGAGAATGACTGTAGACACAAAGACTGTTAATGCCATAAATATAATAGACTTTTTGAAAAATGCTTTCAAATTAATAAGGTATGCTGAGCAATGCTTCGTTCTGAGGTTCTTGGCAAAAGAAATCTGAGTGGTGAATTCATGGTTGGATACTACTCCCGAGATATATTTTAATCGGTTATGAATCTCTCTGTTAGTCTGGTAGACAGGATTTGAGATGGTCCCCAATGATCCTTACCTCCTGATGGCCATGGCTTCATATATTTTCCTCAATATAGGTGGAACCTATGATTCCCTATAACCAACAGAACACAGCAAAGGTGATGGGGTGTCACCTCCATGATTGTTACATAGATTGTAACCTACATTTTGTCAAAGGACTCTCTCTTTTGCTGGTTTTATTAAAAAAATACATTTTAATGGATTTCAGAGAGAAGAAGGGAGAGGGAGGGAAACATCAATGATGAGAGCGAATCATGGATCCGCTGCCTCCTACACTCCCCCTATTGGAAATCGAGCCTGCAATCCGGGCATGTGCCCTGACAATGAATCAAACTGTGACGACCTGGTTCATAGGTCTACGCTCAGTCACTGAGCAACACTGGCTGGGGCCAAACTCTGGGTTTTAAGGCCTCCTTTGAAAGTCCTAAAGCACCTGGCTTTGGCATGTAGGTGTGATTGGCATGTATTGGCATGAGGCTTCAGCTGAATCTGCCTGCACCATGTTAGTATCCTGGAACATGTGAATACATATGGCTTCCATCTTTGTCCCCCCTAGAATTGGGGTAGGCTTCCTAAGGACTCAAAGGGCTGTGGAGTATATTCTTATCTGGCAGGTGATAATTAGCTACTTAGATATGAAAGAAAACAAATAAAAGCCCATTCCCAAAACTGCTGACAGTTATCATACCACGATGTTTGACATCTATTATTCTATTTCTAACAGAATGGTGAGCAACTGGCCCTCAGTAATGGTGGGAACCAGGACTACTCAGGGGACCACCAGCATCTGTACCCTATCTTCTTACTCAGCCAGGAACAGGATTCTTTGGCTGTGTTGCATAACACAAACATATAGTAGAGGTCTGGTGCATGAATTTGTGCATGGGTGGGGTCTGGCCAGACTGGCCAGGGGGAGGGGACATGGATGGTTGGCCGGCCTGCCTGCTGGTCAAACTCCTGGTCAAGGGGACAATTTGCACATTAGCCTTTTATTCTAGGATATACACTGAGTGGCCAGATTATTATGCATTCAGAGATCATCATAATCTGGCCACTCAGTGTATGTTTTTATTGACTTTTAGAGAGGAAGAGAGAAGGATAGATAGAAACATTGAGGAGAGAGAGAAACATCCATTGACTGCTTCCTGCATGCCCCCTACTGGGGGTTGGGCCCACATCCGGGACACATGCCCTGACCCAGAATGAATCTGAGACCTCTTGGTTCCTGGGTCAGTGCTCAACCACTGAGCCACACCGCGTACTTCTGCTTATTCATTTCTCTCTTGGAGAGAGCTGCATGGGCTGCATGAAATCGAACAAAGCAGAGGTAGTTCAGTGCAGTGTTGGTTCTCCATTATCTTGGTGAGCAAATTAGGGGTTATTTTAGAGCTCTCCAAGGGCCACTTCCCCTTAAACAGCTTAGAAGTTTGCTGACATGACCCCCCCATTCCCGCCCCCAATTTCATCTTCCTTCAAATTCTGATTTTTTAAAATCACAGCTACAGAGAGTTGAATTCATCAAAGTCATAAATTCACGGCATAAATGATTATCATCATAGACCATGCAAGGCCCATCTCTGGTTTTATTTATTTATGCTCACACCCACTCCTATCTCCCCCAAGAGAAAACATTCTAATATGTTTAGTGTGCATCCTGTCATTTTTTATTGGATTATTACAAATATATTGATGCTGTTTCATGGGGGTATTTTGAGCCTGTGTAAATGGTATTATATTTCATACTGTCTCATGCCAATGCATGTGCTGACATCTTACCAATAATGCATGATCGTGCATCTTACCCACTGGATTCTCCTCAGAGGACACTGGTCCTGGTACCCCGTCGAGTGGGGATTCTGGCTGTCTACTCCTTTTGCTAGGGTTCACGGCCAGTGCTTGGCAGCTGGGAACGCATGGGAGCAGATGGGCCACTCAACAGCCTCCCTGCAATCATCCTAAGTGTGCTCGCTGTTTCTCAAGTTCTTTGAGATTTTTAAAAAAATATATCATTGAGCCCTAACCAGTTTGGCTCGGTGGATAGAGCATCAGCCTGTAGACTGAAGGGTCCCATCCCGGGTTCGATTCCGGTCAAGGGCATGTACCTGGGTTGCAGGCACATTCCCAATAGGGGGTGTGCAGGAGGCAGCTGATTGATGTTTCTCTCTCATCAATGTTTCTAACTTTCTATTCCTCTCCCTTCCTCTTTGTAAAAAAATCAATTATATCTATATATATATATATATACACAAACACACACACACACAAACACCCCTATAATGACGAGAGAAAAATCACTGATCGGCTGCCTCCTGCCCCCCCACCCCACCCCACCCCCGCTGGGGATTGATCCCGCAACCCCAGCATGTGCCCTTGACCAGAATCTAACCTTTGACCCTTCAGTCCGCAGGCCGAGGCAACCCATTGAGCCAAAGCAGCTAGGGTGGATTCTTTGAGTTTCAGCCCTGCTCTTTCAGGTCTGTTGATTTCTCCCCCTCTCTGCTCCGCAGTCCCTCCCTCAGGTCCCACCCCACCGCTGCTGGCTGCCAGGAGTCAGTAGAACATTCTCCCTCCCAGCCAGCCATGAGCAGATCAAACCGCAGGGCGGCTCGTGTGGGAGATGCGATTTGCAGCGGCCTCTCCAAGGGAACAGGCCGCAGCAGACGCCCTCCGCTTGATCTGCTTGGGAAATAAATCACCACGCAGGGAATTAATTACCGCCCAGAGCAGGAAAAGGCAGCTCTTCTTCAGCAAAGTGGCAACTGACCTGCCTCCCCCTCATGCTAAAGAAGGATCAGAGGGAGGAGGAAAGAAAAACGATTCTAGCCCATAGTGTGATCCCCCCCGCCCCCCGCAAGGGTTGGAGTTCTTTGAAAGGTTTGGGTTACTTGGGGGAAATTAAATAAACCATTATTTTACACAGGTCTGCCTTTAGCTCCAAAGCGTTCCCTATTGTGAAAATACTTCCCCGTGAGGGCCTGTCTGAAATATTTATCTCCCAAGTTTTCAGGGTCCTTACTGCGGACCGAGTAAGTACAGTATAGGAAGTCATGTTTCCTGGGATGCTGCTTTTATTTTATTTTATTTTTCTTCTAGAGGCCCAGTGCACGAATTCGTACATAGGTGAGATCCCTCCACCTGGCCCGTGATTGTGACTGATTGGGGCAGATCGGCCAGGGGGAGGGACAGTGGGAGGTTGGCCAGCCAGGGGAGGTTGGCTGTGGGAGCACACGGACCACCAGAGGCAGCTCCTGTGTTGAGTGTCTGCCCTCTGGTGGTCAGTGCGTGTCATAGCTACTGGCTGGTAGTCCAGTCATCTGGTTTGTAATGATCACTTAGGCTTTTATATATAGATAGATTTTATTTTATTCATTTACTTATTTTTTGTGAATCCTCATCTGAGGATATTTTTCCATTGATTTTTAGAGAGAATAGAATGGAGAGGGAGAGACAGAGAGAAACATCGATGTGAGAGAAACACATCGCTTGGTTGCTTCCTGCATGAGCCCTGACCAGGGCCCCAGCCGGGGATGTGCCTGAAACCAAGGTACATGCCCTTGATTGGAATCAAACCCCAGACTTTTTAGTCCTCAGGCTGACGCTCTATCCACTGAGCCAACCAGCCAGGGCTGGGATAGTGCTTTTACATAAAAACCTACAGTGCCATTTTTTTTTTCATGACGCTGATCCTGAGAAAATAACGGTGTTCAATGAATGGACTGAAATTTTTTAAAAATTTTTTTTATTGATTTCAGAGAGGAAGGGAGAGGGAGAGAGAAATTGAAATATCAACAATGAGAGAGAAACATTGATTGGTTGCCTCCTGCACACCCCGTACTGGGGATCGAGTTGGCAACCAAGGTACATGCTCTTGATTGAAATAGAACCCAGGACCCTTAAGTCCACAGTCCGATGCCCTCCCACTGAGCCAAACCAAGTAGGGCAGTGGTTGGCAAACTTATCAGTCAACAGAGCCAAATATCAACAAGACAACGATCGCAATTTCTTTTGAGAGCCACATATTTTAAACTTAAACTTCTTCTAACGCCACTTTTTCAAAATAGACTCGCCCAGGCCTTAGCATTTTGTGGAAGAGCCACACTCAAGGGGCCATAGAGCCTCATGTGGCTCTCGAGCTGCAGTTTGCTGACCACAAAACTAGAGCAATGGATAGAATTTAAAAAAATCTATCATCCCCCTCACAGAAAATTTCACAAAAATTTTTAAGCAGCAGAGGAAAATCTGGAGGGGAAAATCAATTTTGAGAGCAGAGAAAAGTATAAAAAGACTGAACTGAAGCTTCTAAAACCAATCTGCCCTCCACGGATTTTATTTTAAGACCGGGCTGTTCAGCATCACAGATCGTATTGCCCAACGTGAACCAAGTGGGAAGCTGGCAGTCAGTCGGGCCGGGCTGCTAGTGTCCCTGGGTGGACACTTGATTGCAGATTTCTCTCTGGTCTGCAGGTCTGCTTCTAAGCTGCTGGATGCTTTGCCCTTTGAGTCAAGTGACATTCGCAAACAAATCCCACAATTTGTTCCCAAAGAACGCTGTCCCTGTGTCTTTCATAAACGTGTTTGTGTTTTTCTCTTTTACAGAAGCTGCAAAGAATCGATCCTGCTGACTGTCATCCAGCCTTACCCTGTAAGTGTTCTGTGAGGAAAAGTCCCCTCAGGCTCCCGTGTGCCCCTCCGTCCAGTAAAACCACAATGAGCAATGAAAGCAGAGCAAAAGTAGTGTGCCTCTGCAGCACCAATCATGAGTCAGGAGTCTTTGTATGTTGTTCTTCATGATAGCAATCCCAGTCATTGGAGAGAAGAGAAAGTAGCGCGTTTTCTAAGTATCTTCCAAGTCGGCTGTTCAGTCCTATGCGACACTCAGATCTGCAAATGGCACAAAACTCAAGACTTTCTTGAAGTTTCCAGCTTAAGAATCACAAGTCTAATGGGAATGATAGGGGATTGAAGCACGATTGTTTTTCTGTTCTTTTTTTTTTTTTTTAATATATTGGAGTGGCCAGATTATGATGATCTCTGAACGCATAATAACCTGGCCACTCAGTGTATATATTAGAGGCCCAGTGCATGAATTTGTGCATGAGTGGGGTCCAGCCAGCCTGGCCAGGGGGAGGGGACAATGGCGGTTGGCCGGCTTGCCTGCTGGTCGAACTCCTGGTCGAGGGGACAATTTGCATATTAGCCTTTTATTCTATAGGTTATACACTGAGTGGCCAGAATATTATGCATTCAGAGATCATCATAATCTGGCCACTCAGTGTATTTTTGTTGATTTCAGAGAGGGAGAGAGAGAGACATCAATGAAAAGAGAGAATTATTGATCGGCTGCTTCCTGCATGCCCCCTACTGGGAACTGAGCCCATAACCTAGGCATGTGCCCTTGACCAGAATTGAACCTGAGACCCTTCAGTCCATAGGCTGATGCTCTATCCACTGAGTCAAACCGGTTAGGGCTGATACACGTTCTTACAGCTAACAGCTCTGCCTCTGCTTCTCAGAGTCGCTCTTCCCCTCCCAGCTATTGTAGAATTCTCATTTTTTATTTCCTTTGACCAACCCCCCTTCCTGAAGTGCCCACAACATACTCCACCCCACCACTCCTTCTCCCCCTTCAACTCTCAGCACACATTTGCACTGTGGCCATTTGGGCTGGCGGATTCTCTGTGGAACGGGGCTGCTTTGGGCATTGTAGGATATTGACCAGCAACCCAGGCCTCTACCCACTAGATGGCAGTAGTAGTACCTCCTCCCCTAGTTGTGAGGATCAAAAATGATTCCAGACACTGCCAGATATTCCCTGGAGAGCAAAATTTCCCTCACTGGGGACCACTGGCCCGCCTACAGTTTGCCCTTATTGGTCCAGTCCAAAGTGGCTCTTTCCTCTTTTGAATTGTAGGAGTTGAAATAATGTAGTTAAACCCCCCTCCCCCAAGTTACTTAAATAGATACATTATATGTAGAGAGGAGAGCAGATGAGAGAAGAGGACATTGCAAAATTTTACAGTTTTGTGTTCAGATTTTTCTATAAGCAAATTGGTGTGTCTTTTTTATTTTAATTGAGTTTTATGTCTTCCCAAACATTCTCTTGGTAATCAGGGTTGAGATACAGAAACATATGACCCAGCAGACCAAAAGAACACCCGTAAATGTGATTTTATTACAGACAATAAATATTAGCATTTTTATGTCCTTATAATTTGCTGGCCAGCATTTTTAATGTTGTGTTTCCTCTGCCTAATGAGGTCCAGTCTAGACAGAGCCGATGTTCACACCTTCTTGCCATATTCCATCTGAGCTCAGGGCATCCCAACGTGATCCAATCACAAAAATCAGTCTCCAGGGGGGCCTAGAAGATCTTATGAACCCCACAATTCCTTGAGCAGAAATAATTCTTAACAGGTTGCTGCCTTATATTTTATTTTATTTTTAAAAATATATTTTATTGAGTTTTTACAGAGAGGAAGGGAGAGGGATAGAGAGTCAGAAACATCGATGAGAGAGAAACATTGATCAGCCACCTCCTGCAACCCCCCCGCCCCCCAATGGGGATGTGCCTGCAACCAAGGTACATGCCCTTGATCGGAATTGAACCTTCAGTCTGCAGGCCAATGCTCTATCTACTGAGCCAAACCTGTCAGCACACTGTCTTATATTTTAAATAAAACGGAGGGCTCTCTGACCACCATTTTTACTTTATTTCTTAGGGGGGAAAAATGTGCTTGTACAGAAGGAAACACAGAAGTAGACAAATATGTGTCGGGAAACTTTTTCCCTTTGCAATAGGAACATTTTGGCCTTTTCCCTTCCGATCTTTTTGTGCTGGGCCTTGTCAACAATTGAGATCATATTGTATGTACAATTTTTTCTCCTTTCACTTCATATATCAAGCTTTTTCTCATGTCATCAAGAATTCTGCATAAGTGTCATATACATGGCTATAAAACATATGTTGATTCACTTAACCAACTCAATATCATAGAACCCTTCATAATGCCTTTAATGTTTTGCTATTATAAATACTAGAGGCACAGTGCATAAAATTTGTGCACTTGGGAGTGGGGGGGTGTCCCTCAACCTGGCCTGTGCCCTCTCACAGTCTGGGAGCCCTTGGAAGCAGGCCTAAGCTGGCAGTTGGGCATCCTTAGCCCATGAGCCTGGCTTCTGGCTAAGAGGCATTCCCCTTGTGGGAGTGCAGTGACCACCAGGGGGCAGCTCCTGCATTGAGCGTCTGCTCCCTGGTGGTCAGTGCTCGTCATAGCGACCGGTCATTTACATATTAGCTCTTTATTATATAGGATTCTGCAAAGAACATCTTTGTGTATAAATCCTATTTATTGGTATTTAGTAGTATCTATATATGTACTTAGTATTATTATTATTAGCTGTATCTAATAGTATTTCCTCAGTATGGAATTTTAGAAGGAGAATCTCTGTGTTACTGGTAAATTTTATTTGTTTGGTTCTGATGTGCTGTCTTCTTTCCTTTCATTGAGACTATTTTTTATTACAGATCTTTTTTGGCCAGCTTCTTTCTTCTTTCCTTTTCCCAGTTCCCAAGTCTTAAACTTCCCATTTCAGCCCTAGCTGGTTTGGCTCAGAGGATAGAGTGTCGGCCTGCGGACTGAAGAGTCCTGGGTTCTATTCTGGTCAAGGGCACATGCCCAGGTTTTAGGCTCAATCCCCAGTATGTGGCATGCAGGAGGCAACCACTCAATGATTCATTCTCATTGATGTTTCTCTCTCTCTCCCTCTCCCTTCCTCTCTGACAGCAATAAAAATATATTTAAAACAAAACAAAACAAAAAAAAAACATGTATAACTTCCCAGTTCAACCTTACCTGAAACAAGGAGTATTTAAAGAGTCTCACCCTGACCAGTTTTCTCAATGGTTAAAGCACTGGCCTGTGGACCAAAGGGTCATGGATTTGATTCCCGGTCAAGGGCACATGTGGGAAGCAACCAATTGATGTGATTCACATCAATGTTTCTCTCTCTCTCTTTCTCTCTCCCCTCCCCCCTCTCTCCTCCTCTCTCTAAAAAAAAATTCAACCAGGTTTCTTTGAGGGCCCCACTTGCTTGCCTTTCACTTCCTGCCTACCTTCCAGCATGTTCCACACACCCGAGGGAGGCCACAGACCTCATGGAAGCCCCAATGTAGCAGACGCTATTAGATCTGGAACCATGTTCACTTAGCATGTGTCATGTCAAGCATGTCAACCCAATTTCCAGCAATTCTTTGCCTGTGGGCTTCTGGCCACAGGAGCATGCTCATGGAGCACACCGGAAGTGCTGAAGAGTTACTACTCTCAGAGGAGCAGCCGTTCCACCAGGAGCAGCTGGTGGATCAATACCCCAGCTTGCCCTCTTCCTCAATCAGTATACCTCTAGGCCATGGTCTGCCTTGGTTCCCACGGTGGTCCAGTTGCTTCCAGTGGTACCTTGCCTTAACAGTGAATGCTTTATTGGGTTACCCCCTTCCCTGTCTCCCTGCCCCCCACTTTCCTACCTGACCCCCACCTCCCAAATCAGCTACCTGCCTGTGAATCCTATCTTAGGGTCTGCTTTAGGGGATAACTCCAAACTAAGTCATCGAGGGGTGACTATGAGCTAGTAAGTCATCAGCAGGCATTTCCCCAGCGCCTACTATATGAGCAGTACTGTGAAGCTACGGGGACTGCAGGTTCAAGGCCTTACACTTTGGTTTCAGGAATTAATCTCATTTATGTCATTTTTTCCCAGCTCTGTTCTAGCGACTTCTAAGAGCATCTAAAAGCATCAGGAGCATGCCACACACTTATCATGGCCACCTTAGCAATAGCAGATTTGGAGAGGGGTGAAGGGTTAATGAGAGGCCTTCTCATCTTAAAATTAATTAACAGCAGGAGAACCTGATTATTCTAAATGGTAATTACTTATCCTTTCCACCACAGGCTATGGAGTGCTTCTGATCAGGTCTGCAGGTTGCTAAGAATTAATTTCCCAGGTTTTTGAGTGGTGCACATTGTATATTTTTTCAGCAGCAAAGAGAGTTCTGAGTTAAAACTGCAGTTTCACCCTAACCCCATGGTCGGCAAACTGTGGCTCATGAGCCACATGCGGCTCTTTGGCCCCTTGAGTGTGGCTCTTCCACAAAATAACATGGCCTGGGCGAGTCTATTTTGAAGAAATGGTGTTAGAAGTTTAAGTTTAAAAAATGTGGCTCTCAAAAGAAATTTAAATCATTGTACTGTTGACATTTGGCTCTGTGGACTAATGAGTTTGCCGACCACTGCCCCTAGTTGGTTTGGCTCAGTGGATAAAGCATCGGCCCTCAAACTGAAGAGTCCCAGGTTTGATTCTGGTCAAGGTACATACCTCGGTTGCAGGCTCGATCCCAGCTCTAGTCAGGGCACATGTGGGAGGCAACCAATTGATGTCTCTCATATCAATGTTTTTCTCACTCTGTCTCTCCCCATCTCTCCCACTCTCTCTAAAATTCAATGGAAAAATATACTCAGCTGAGGATTAGAATAAAACAATAAAAAACTACAGACGTGACTGATTTACATTTCCCATGAACCACAAGTAACTCCAGCCACTGGAATAAGACCATACTTGGTTGCTTCTAATTCAGTAATCTTCAAGTTGAAGAGCTTATGGTTTTATGATCTGAATGTAATTTTTAAAATGTATGTTGATTATATGAAATAGTCACGAATCCAGGATCAGAAAAAAGCACTACTATGGATTCTTAGTTAGACTTAATACATTTAAAATGGTATTTGCTTAACTACCGTGGCGCTCTCGTGTGCTTTCTGCTTTTTCAAGATTACCAGGTTTGTCATTTGTGCCTGCTAAACAGGTATGGGAATGAGGCTCCAAGCAGTGGGCATGCTTTAGCTACAGGGAGAAGAGAGAAGCCGCCCATTTTTCTTTCTTTCTTTCTTTCTTTCTTTCTTTCTTTCTTTCTTTCTTTCTTTCTTTCCTTCCTTCTTTCTTTCTTTTTAATCTATTTTTATTGATTTCAGAGAGGAGGGGAGAGGGAGAGAGAGAGATAGAAACATCAGTGATGAGAGAGAATCATGGATCGGCTGCCTCCTGCACACCCCCTTCTGGGGATCGAGCCCACAAGCTGGGCATATGCCCTGACCAGTAATAGAACTGTGACCTGATTCATAGGTCTACGTTCAACCACTTAGCCACACCAGCCGGGCGAAGCATCCCATCTTGACAAGTTCTGCTAAATGGGGCCGCTTACCTTTAGGGCAAATAACCCTCTATAGTCCCATGGGGACATCACTGCATTCCAAGATTACCCAGCAAATGGCATTCCAAGATTACCCAGCAAAAGATATGCATAAGAAATGAAGTTCTGTTAAATATGCCTTTTTATCGAGGCAAGGAATTATGTAAAACATTTGAGAAAAATATGGTAAAATATTACATTTTAAAATGCAGATGCATAGAAGGCTAAATCGAACGCGTGTGAAACCCCTCCTTCACGAATAATGCCAGAGAAAGGGGCATGCCACTTCTGACATCTCCTCTAATTAGGCAGGTCTGCGCAGGGTGGCTCTATCTGCACTGCCTCACTGGTGCTCACCTCATTGTGCCGATGTAAATATCGCCCGCTTCACATCACCACGGCAGAATCATGTTTTCCCTTCAGCTAAAAAATTGCACATCAAAAGCAGATGAACTCTCTGCTGTCTGATTTGTTCGTTAATCATCACTGAACTTGGCCTCTAATTACCAAGATACCGATGAGAGCACCACTGTCATTGCTCCAGCTCTGCAGGAGGACTTGCCAAGTCCCGTTGAGCGTGTTCAAAGCGGTTCTTTTTGAACAGCAGCCATTTGGAGTTGTTTTGTGGTGTGTGTGTGTGTGTGTGTGTGTGTGTTTTAAGGGCAGCCATTCTCTTAAAATATAGCGCTTAGGAGGCGAAATTAAAGCTCAGGGGGGTCAAACCATCCATCCATGCAGTACTCTGACATTTCTTAGAGCAAAGGATTAGATGGGTGTGGAGGGGAACTTTCAAAATAACAGGTTTTCCCCAGTATTAAAGCAGAACTCCACTCAGGAGTATGCGCACACATGTTTTGTTTATTTTTCTTTTTAATTATTATTTTTAAAAATAATTCTTTATTGTTGAAAGTATTGCATATGTCCCCTTCCCCCCCCCCATTAACCCCTTCCAGCACACCCCCGCCCCCTGCTCCAGGCCCTCACCACCCTATTGTCTGTGTCCATGGGCTATACTTATGTGCATACAAGGTTGCATATAAGTAGTGGTAGATTACCTGCCACCCACCCTCCCCCGCCTTCCCTGTGAGATTCCACACTCTGTCCATGCTTCCGTGTCTCTGGATCCACTCCATTCATCACTTTATTTTGTTCATTAGATTCCACATATGAGTGAGATCATGTGATACCTGCCTGTCTCTGACTGACTTCTTTCACTCAGCATAACCACGCATGTTTTATTGTGTGTTTTTAACAGAGGTTTTGTTTTATTATAGTGTTTTGTATTTGATTATTATATATACACTAGAGGCCCAGTGCACAAAATTCGTGCATGGGTAGGGTCCTAGGTTCAACTAGCAATCAGGGCCGATTGGGGCCTTCCAGCTGTCTGCTGGGGCCTCCCTTCATTCTGCTCCACCCCCTAGTGGTCAGCACATGTCATAGTGAGCAATAGAACTTCCCGTCAAACTAGCGTGGGGACACTTTTCATATTAGCCTTTTAGATATATAGATAATGTAAATCTACCATTTTAAGCTTTTATTTTATTTTATTTTATTTTATTTTATTTTATTTTGTTTTGTTTTGTTTTATTTTGTTTTGTTTATTTTTTTCCACCAGGAGTGTAGAAACTTCCAATTCACTTTGAGGGGCACAGTCATAGCCCCCAAAGGCATCAGGATCCACTCGCTGTTAGCACCTGTTTCAACTGCTGCTACAAAAAATAGCAGTTCTTGGGTTTAGGTGCTTGCATTTTAAGCATTTTAAAGGATACAATTTTGTGGGATTAAATACATTCAAAACTTTGTGCACCCATTGCCACTATCCAGCTCCAGAATGTCACCTTGCACCCATTGAGCAGTCACTGCCATTCTCCAGGGTGGGATGTGGGAGGCAACAGATCCATGATTCTCTCTCATCATTGATATTTCTATCTCTTCTCCTTCTCTCTTCCTCTCTGAAATTTATATATGCTAGAGGTCCAATGCAGAAAATTCATGCAAGGGGCTTTGCCTTTGCAATCACGGCTGCTTGCATCAGTCCTTGCAGCCACGCTTCATCCAGAAGGTCATCCAGAAGGATGTCTGGAAAGATGTCCGGTCTAATTAGCCTGTTACACTTTATTGTTATGGATATGTATGTACACACTGAGTGACCAGACTATTATGATATCTGAATGCATAATAACCTGGCCACTCATTGCATGTCCTATAGAATAAAAGGCTAATATGCTAATTGCCCCCTCGAGCAGGAGTTCAACCGGCAGACAGGCCGGCCAACCACCCATGTCCCCTCTCTCTGGCCAGGCTGGCTGGACCCCACCCATGCACAAATTCATGTACTGGGCCTCTAATATATGTGTGTGTGTGTGTATATATATATATATATATATATATATATATATATACACACACACACACACACACTGAGTGGCCAGATTATTATTTTATTATTTGTTCAGAGATCATCATAATCTGGCCACTCAATGTGTGTCTGTGTGTGTGTGTGTTTTTTTTTAAGTTCTCATCCACCTACTGGATGTGAATTTCCTTCCCTTCGGGCATTATTAAAATTAGGCAACAGGGATGATTCTCAGGTAAAAGACATTTACCAAGACCAGGCAGCAAGGAGTCCCCGGGGTCACAGCCCCATCTAAGTGAGGTTTCCTGCTGCACTTTTCAATTTCTGAGGAAGAGCTGCGTCTTAGCCCTCCTTCCAATAAAAGGTAGTACAAGGAACCTGTAAGGAAAGGCAGAATATGAGGTCACCTTTCAGTTCTAAGACAAGGGCTCCTTTCTACCCCGCCCAGTAAAACCACAGGATCCCAGGTTACCAGCAAGAGGCTGAAACTCTGTGTGTGTGTGTGTGTGTGTGTGTGTGTGTGTGTGTGTGTATACTTGCCTGCTCACATACCCATATGCCCTTAATGTGAATAACAATGATATTACTGCCCTGTTGGTTTGGCTTAGTAGATAGAGCGTTGGCCTGGGTACTGAAGGGTCCTGGGTTCGATTCCGGTCAAGGGAACATATTCAGGTTGCGGGCCCCATCCCCAGTGGAGGGCGTGCTGGAGGTAGCTAATCCATGATTCTCTCTCATCATTGATCTCTCTCCCTCTCTGTCTCTGTCTCTGAAATCAATCTAAAAAAAAAATACATTTTAAAATAAGATAGAAGACAACTGTTTTGTATTGTTATCAGTAATCCAATAAAATATTTTCTTTTTTCCAGTCTCCCAAATCAGCATTTATCAGTGCTGCCAAGAAGGCCAGGTTAAAGTCCAACCCTGTGAAAGTGCGCTTCTCTGAGGAGGTCATCATCAACGGGCAGGTGTCGGTGAGTGGACAGTCGCCTGCTGGTGACCCAGAGCAGGTCACTGAGGCACTGAGCAAGGCCAGCACCCCACTGGGAAGATGGATCTGGCACTGCTTGCTGGGTTTCATAGGGGTGTCAAATCTCAGGATCACCCGGCTGTATTTGATAGGTCCCCCCTAATATTCCCAGGAGCCAGAAGAGTCCGCTATTTCCTTGAGTGCTTTCAGGATTAGAGACCTCACTTCTTTGCAAAGAAGGTCATTTGATTGGATGTCACTGGCATTGTATTTTTGAGTAAAATGTGCCCCTTTGAAATAACACCTCTTTCTTCCTGTTCTGCCAACTAAGCATTCCTCCATGAGAGCCTCTGGTGTGTCTTGAAAAAAGTATTGCTATCTGCTAATTTTTCTCCCTTCTCCAAAATAAAACGTCTTTATCGTTTCAACTAAGCAAAATGGAAAACAGTTAAAATGATGGAAAACTTTCATATATGCAACCAGGATTTTCATTAATAGCTCCTGATAGAAATCATGATTGCTCAGGCACATCATTGATCTTCTAAATGAATAATGCAAACATTGATAGAATGCTTTATTTTCAATTTTCTCCACACAAAAAAACAAAACAAAAAAAAAAACAGCATTGTGTTTTTTGTTTTGAGAAAGCTGTCATCTAGGGTACTCATTTCTTAGAACTTTGAAATGCCAGCTTCTTTTGTGGAGGTTTGTTGCTCCTGCTATTGTTAATCAGGGGTGGGGAACGTCCGGCCCGCGGGCCATACAAGGCCCTGGATATCATTTGGCCTGGCCCTGCCAAGGCATTACAGGTGAGTTCATTAAATGTTTGAGCAAACAGAGCAGGCTCATTTTCCAGCTGATCATTTTGTAGGTCCTGCTATAAGTATCCCGATGGGTCTGGGCAGAAAAGTCATTCCCCAACCCTGGCAAATGGACAACGGTACAATCTCCTCCATGTCATCCTTGTTGTGGGTCAAAATGCTCCCCTGAGTGTGGTCCTGGATCTGACTTTGAAGATGTAGCCTGCACTTCCTGGGCCAGGGATGCGTGGACCAAGCATCTCCCAGCGCCAGCCTGCTGACCTCTGTCTGCCCCGGCTGGGCGCCAGGGCCTCAGCTCACCCCTCTGGCATACTATTGTGACACTTGTGGGCGGGGCATCAGGCTCCCACGGTACTGCCCTGTGAGCATTTGCCTGTGACCTTGGCCTCCGATCGCCCATCTATCATCTCATCTCCTCTACCCGCTTCCCTCTGTGGCTTGTGCTGCGCGGATCAGTGGATTCCTGTCCCTCTGGGTGCAGAGTTGGCATACATCACCATCTCAGCAAGACTGGCCCAGCTCAAGGCTGGAAGGTTCTAGTAACACAGGAATCACTGTGTCATCGGAGGTCATGTGACATCCCCTCATCTTCTCTCAAGTTTCTGAGTGGGAGATGGGCCATGCGTTTTTGCATCTTTTTAAATAAATATTTTTATTGATTTCAGAGAAGAAGGGAGAGAGGGAGATAGAAACATCAATGATGAGAGAGGATCATTGATTGGCTACCTCCTGCATAACCCACACTGGGGATCAAGCCTGCAACCCGGGCATGTGCCCTGACCAGAATCAAACCCGTGACCTCTTGGTTCCTGGGTTGATGCACAACCGCTGAGCTACACCAGTTGGGCCATTTATGCATCTTTAGGGAGACTCAGACTTGAGGCTGCCGTGGCAGTGTCCCTGGGCGTGCAGGAAGCAACTGATCCAAGATTCTCTCTCATCGATATTCCTCTCTTCTCCCTCTCCCTTCCTCTCTGAAATCAATAAAAATATATATTTTTAAAAACTCCTCTGATTGATCTGATGGAAAAATTCTTTTCTTTGAATCAACTGATTTATTTGTAGCTGGAAAAGAATTTTTCTATGACACCTGCACCTGGATATCACCAAAGAGACATCTTGGTTGGCCGCAGAGACTTGAATTGTTTTTGGTTGTTATTTATGTTGTGTTGGGATACATTATAGATACACGTGGCTACTGCTAAGAGCAGAATTATAATCCAACTGCCTTTAACCCCTCCCTCTTTTCTACTGCTGTCCAACAGGAAACTGTCAAGGATAATTCGCTTCTTTTTATGCCAAACGTGCTGAAAGTCTATCTGGAAAACGGGCAGACCAAGTCCTTTCGCTTTGACTCAAGCACCTCCATTAAGGTAAGGGGACCCCCTCGGGCAGCGAGCGGAAGCTGCACGGGCGTCTCGGGTGGCAGCCCTTCTTGGAAAACTGCTTGTCTATTGCTGAGAAGTGTTTCGTTGTTTCCAAATAAGGTAGTGTGTGAGTTCTGGCCGTTGTGTCTCAGTGGATAGAGCACCGGCCTGCAGACCGAAGGGTTCCAGGTTCGATTCCGGTCAAGGGCACTTACTTACCTTGGTTGCAGGCTCCTCCCCAGCCCGGGCCCTGGTTAGGGCTCATGCAGGAAGCAACCAATCGATGCATTTCTCTCACACTGATGTTTCTCTCTGTCTCTCCCCCTTCCTTCCATTCTCTCTAAGAATCAATGGAAAAATATCCTCAGGGGAGGATTCCAAACATAGAAAACAAATCAGGCAGTGTGTGAATACTTAAAAACAAACCATGATTAAAGTCCTGCCCAAAGCAAGCATGGTCTCAGCAATGTGAGCCCAAGAAGGATGAAGCTGTTAGCAGTTAATTGAGTATCTGCTACTTTGGTGACCAGTGAGAACAAGGGTAGAGTAATACAAAGATAGCACTTACTTGGCATTTCCAGAGCTGCTTTCATGGCAATGATGCATGAAGGGCAGGAATGAGGCGAGCGTCTTAGCAGAGGTGAAGAGGAAGAGCCACAAAACAATTCAGTGTCGGGAGTCTCCCTCCCCCCCCATCCGTGGGAAATGCCTTCAGAGACCCCCAGTGGATGCCCAAAACCGTGGATGGTAATGATCTCTCTATACACGATGATTTTTCCAACACATGCTCACCTCCACTGAAAGGGAGCGCTTTACGGCTTCTCTGTGACTTGTCCTAGTGGACGCCGCATGTGGCTCGCAAGCCGTAGTTTGCCGACCGCTGGCTTGTCCGAATGGCTGGCACCAGTGCTCTGGGCCTTGGGGCCATCAGTGAGAAAAACAGGTGAATTCTGAATGCCAGGCCTGGGGTACCACAGCTGCCGATCTGACCACCAAGGTGGCTGCTGGTGACTAACAGGTGGGGAGTAAACAGCACATGGAGTCACTGGCCAAAGGGAGGAGTCCCTTCCCGGGCAGAATGGACAACTTATGAATTGTTTATTTCTGGAATTTTCCATTCAGTATTTTTGGGCTGCAGTTGACCTCGGATAACTGAAACCTCGGAAAGTGAAACTGCAGATGGGGGGGTGGGGGGGTGGGGTGGGTATCTGTATTTCAGAGCCACAGGTGGGTTTGCATAATGGGCATTATTATAAAGCATATGGGTTCAATACATATTCTCTTTTTATTGGATAAAAGTCTGTTCAAAGATTGATTGCTCCCTACTGGTCCATCAACCTAAAACAGGCTTTTTTCAGATGCACAGTCAAAAAGATTTGATTGAGGTAAAAACAAGTACCTAGTGATGACCTTGTGTAATAGTGTATCAAGAGACTATCAGCTGTGGGTATAAAATGTCTATTAATAGTCAACCCCCAAGTCTCAGTTTTTCAAAGGCATCAGCACAGACCTTCTGAGGGCCCCCTCACCGTGCCTTCTTCTTACCAGGGTTCTGGCAAGCAGCTTGTTTGGAATTGCTTTAAATAGGCAGCGACTGAGCAGGTTAGAGAGCAGACAGTGAGAGTAGATTGATGATAAAGCATCTAAATCAGCCTGCAATCACTCTGGGTGAAATATGAACTGCCTTCATACCAGACTGTGAAATTTAAATGCCGGTGACTAAAGAAATCTTTTTTATTTTTTTTATTCCTACTCCAAATCAGTTGACAGTGAGATGTTACTCTAAATATTAGTTAACTCAGCTAGGAGTTGGCAAGCTTTCTCTGGGAAGGCCTGGAGAGTAAATATTTGAGGCTTGGTGGGACATTTGACCTGTGTTGCAACTACCCAGCTCTGCTATCTATACTAATAAAAGCCTAGGTGGCCCTCATGCCCTCACACTCTTATGTCATCACAGAATGGCCACCCCCCCGCCCATAGTCACAAGGTGGCCACCACAAGATGGCCAGCGGGGGGGGAGGGGCAGTTGTGGGCGATCAGTCTGGCAGGGGAGGTCAGTTAGGGGTGACTGGGCCAGCAGGGTAGGGCAGTTGCAAGCAACCAGACCTGCAGGGAAGGGCAGTTGGAGGCGACCAGGCCAGCAGGAGAGGGCAGTTTGGGGCAACGAGGCTGTCAGGAAAGGGCAGTTGGGGCGATCAGACAGGCAGGCAGGCGAGTAAATGGTTAGGAGCCAGCAGTCCCAGATTGTGAGAGGGGTCCCAGATTGGAGAGTGTACAGGCTGGGCTGAGGGACACCCAGAGCACGAATTTAATGCACTGGGCCTCTAGTCGCATCATGAAAATAGTCATGGAACCTGCTCCCAGGTTCAATAATCCACTCGAAGGACTCCCACGACTCAGCAAATTGTCACACTCCCAGTTCCCCTTTCTTGCAGCCAAAGGATATGAAGTGAAATCAGCAATCGCAGAACGTGCACAGGGCACAGGGCTTGGCCAAGGACATTGGAGCTGTGCAACGGCCTTTTCTCCAGCAGTCACGTGACAGTGTGCACAGTGCCGCCAGCCGGGAAGCTCACCCGGGCCTTGCTGTCCGGTTTTTACTGGCGGCCGGCTGCACAGACAGACCTTAGTAGCTGGCCTCGCAGGAGGTCAAGCTGATAGCACATGACCCCAGATCCCCACCATAATCGCATGGTTGGCACACACTATCTGATGTGGCACTACGCTCCAAGGTGATAGCAGTTCCCTCCCAAGAGCCAGGAGTAAAAAATGTAGCTGTATCAATTTCAGTGAAGAAGTTAGAGGGAGAGAGAAACATCAATGAGGAGAGAGAATCATGCATCAGCTGCCTCCTGCACGCCCCCTTCTGGGGATCAAGCCCGAAACCTGGGACGTGTCCTAACTGGGAATCGAACTGTGACCTCCTGGTTCATAGGTTGGGCTCAACCACTGAGCCACATCGGCCGGGCAGGCAAACCTTTGTTTGGGCAAGAAGAATGTTTTTATCACACAGACACTATATGAATGAAAGGGCATGGCCATAGTTTGCAGACCTCTGGTCTAAGCCACAGAGCTCTGTCATTCCAGATCCCTCAGACACAGTGGCCTTACTCTGTGACACCGATTGGTCAGAACAGCTGCCTGCCATTGTACCCTCCCGCATCCGAAGATCTTCGAAAGCATTTTTAAAATATATTTTTATTGATTTTGCCCTAACCAGTTTGGCTCAGTGGAAAGAGCGTCGGCCTGCAGGCTGAAGAGTCCCAGGTTCTATTCCAGTCAAGGGCATGTACCTTGGTTGCAGGCACATCCCCAATGGGGGGCGTGCAGGAGGCAGCTGATCGACGTTTCTCTCTTATTGATGTTTCTAACTCTCTATTCCTCATCTATCCTCTCTGTAAAAAAAAAAAAAAAAATATATATATATATATATATATATATATATATATATATATTAAAAAAATAAAATATATTTGTATTGATTTCAGGAAGGAAAGGGGAGAGAGAGAGAGAAACATCTATGATGAGAGAGAATCATGGATCAGCTGCCTCCTACATGTCCCACACTGGGGATCCAGCCCACAACCCAGGCATGTGTCCTTGACTGGAATTGAACCTGGAACCCTTTAGTCTGCAGGCTGATGCTCTATCCACTGGGCCACACCGGCTAGGGCGTGAATGCATTTTGTACCAGAAAGAAATGGGAATTTGGAAGAGACTTCTCTCCGGCCTCTGTGTTAGAGGGGCCCATGCTAGACTAAGTTTGATTTCCTTGAGGATGGCAATGACAATGAGACGGGAAGCAATGCAAAAAGTTCACATGAAATTGTAGTTATCTTATCTGGTACTGAACAGCCTTATTATCACAATAGACATGGGCTGGTGGGCATCCACTGGAAATAGTCTCGCTCGGAAAGGATATGACAGTGTTTAATAAAAATTGCCAGAATTCCTGCTACAGAGGCGCAATAGGAACAATGTATTGCTATTGATTTCCCGGTGTCCTCCCCGGCGGTTCGGGAGCTTTTAGACAGTGTGAGCTGCTACACAAAGGCTCGTGTTGTCTTCTCTCCTCGGGGCCGTGAGCAAGAAACTATAACAGAGAAAATCTTTTCATAGAATTCAATACAGTCCAGGTTGTTCCGTGGAATGATGACTTTTGGGTGGTGGGTGGGTGTGGGGATCTTTGTTTCCCAGGGGCCTGAAGACATTCTAAAAAGTATACAGAGAAGCCCTAACTGGTGTGGCTCAGTGGATACAGCGTCGGCCTGCGGACTGAAGAGTCCCAGGTTCGATACCGGTCAAGGGCATGTATGTTGGTTGCAGGCACATCCCCAGTAGGGGGTGTGCAGGAGGCAGCTGATCGATGATTCTCTCTCATCGATGTTTCTAACTCTCTATCCCTCTCCCTTTCTCTCTGTAAAAAATCAATAAAATATATTTTAAAATTATAAAAATAAGTCTACAGAAAAGAATCAAAACCTTGCTGTGTCTTGGTGAGTTGATACTTTGGACCAGAAATGAGTAATTCTGGTTTGTGGGTGTGGCTTGTACATTACAAGCCACTTAGGGGCCTCCCTCCATGCCTAGCACCCCAATCCCATTGTGACAGCAAAAATGTCTCCAGAAGTTGCCGCCATTGAATACAACCCCTCTTTGGGATTTAAAAAATGTTTATTAATTTCAGGGAGAAAGGGCCCAAACCGGTTTGGCTCAGTATCCAAACCGGTTTGGCTCGGTGGTAGAGCGTCGGTCTGTGGACTGAAAGGTCCCAGGTTCGATTCTGGTGAGGGGCATGTACGTTGGTTGCGGGCACATCCCAGTAGGGGGTGTGCAAGAGGCAGGTGGTCGATGTTTCTCTCTCATTGACGTTTCTAGCTCTCTCTCTCTCTCCCTTCCTCTCTGTAAAAAATCAATAAAATATATTTTTTTAAAAATTTTTTCAGGGAGAAAGGGAGAGGGAGAGAGAAGCATCAATGAGGAGAGAGAGTCATTGATGGGCTGCCTCCTGCACACGCCCTACTGGGGATGGAGCCCACACCCAGGCCTGTGCCCTTGACCGGGAATCAAACCATGACCTCCTGGTTCCTAGGTTGACGCTCAATCACTGAGCCAGGCTGTCCGGAGCTGCCTGGGTTTTGATCGCATCTTATGACCATTTTCTCTGGCAGGATGTCATCATGACCCTCCAAGAGAAGCTGTCCATCAAAGGCATTGAGCACTTCTCTCTCATGCTGGAGCAGAGGACCGAGGGCGCCGGCAGCAAGCTGCTGCTGCTGCACGAGCAGGAGACCCTCACCCAAGTGCGTGAGCTGCCCCTGAGGGTGCTGCTGCCACCCAGCCACCTGCCCCAGCATCTCCCCCACCCCTGGCCCCAGCACCACCCCCTCCCCTGAGGGCACTGCCGCCACCCAGCTGCCCGCCCAGCATCCCTCCTCCCCAGTACCATCGCCCTCCGCCCCAGCATCCCCATCTGCCCTAGCATCCCTCCCACCCCAGAATCCCTCCTGCCCCAGACATCTCTCCTATCCCAGCATCCCACCCACCCTATTCTCCCTCCCTCCTCAGAATCCCTCCCACCCCAGTATCCCTCCTATCCTACTCTTCCCTCCCTACACCCCTCCCTCCCCAGCATTCCTCCCCCCCCCAACATCTCTGCCATCCTAGTACCCCTCCCATCCTATTCTCACTCCGTCCCCAGCACCCCTGCCATCCTAGTACCCCTCCCATCCTACTATCCCTCCCATCCTACTATCCTCCTGCCCCAGCATCCCTCCCACCGCAGATGCTCTCATCGTGCTCCCTGCATCGCTGGGCAGCGCACTGAGGGAGCGGGCGTTAGTAATGGGCGTTAGTAAAGGTGATGTCTCCCTTTCTGTCAGTGTCCACAGCCTGTCAGGTCACCTGTGGAACAGATGTGTCACTCAGCCTGGGCAGCACGCTGAGGAGGTGGCTCTGTCCCATTCCCCTCTCTGTCATTAAACCACTCCGCCACCGCGGGCCTCCTGGAGCTACTTGGTTGCATGAGGCCCTTTAAGTCAAGGCCAGGCCGTGTGCGTGGCTCTAGGCTCCAGGTGTCCACCTCAGGCTATTTCCAGAAGCCTCCAGGCCCCGCCCCGGCCTGCCCACTGTAAATATGTGATGCGGCCACGCATCCCAGTTCTGGGGGCAGGACGCCACCCCCTCTGTTCTCTGGGGAGCGTCAGGCTGCCGCTGCTGCTCTGTGATGCCGCTCAGCGGCTCCGTGGGGGCGGGGGGTGAGGGGTTTCATCAATGCTCCGTGGCGAAGGGTTCCTAGAGGAGGGAGCGTGGGGCTCCCCTCTGTCCTTTCTGCTTTCCTTTCCCGCCAGGCGGGGACGACGGCCCACGGCCCTTGGACCCGGGGCCACGCCGCTTTCCCTCCTGCCTGCAGCCTGGGAGCCAAGTCCCTGTCACCACCTGTCACGTGCCCAGTCTCCTTTCAAAGGAGGGTGTGTCTTTCCGTTAAGATTCTACTCCACATGTGAACTCTTTACATCTGAACACACACACACACACACACACACACACACACACACACACACACACGTGCCCTAAGGCTCGAGAAAGCTGCTGCTGCATTTCTTCTGAATTTCTACATGGCAGTTCACGAACATTTTTGCTCCTCCAACTTTGTCCCCTGCATGACAGTTGTCACATGTCCATGGAACTGCGTGCCCATGCATGGGAAGGACATACAAGCATATAAAACTACAGGCAGCCGAAACCGGTTTGGTTCAGTGGATAGAGCATAGGCCTGCGGACTGAAAGGTCCCAGGTTCGATTCTGGTCAAGGGCATGTACCTTGGTTGCCAGCACATCTCCAATGGGGGGGGGGGTGCAAGAAGCAGCTAGTAGATGTTTCTCTCTCATTGACGTTTCTAACTCTCTATCCCTCTCAATTCCTCTCTGTGTAAAATCAATAAAATATATTTTAAAAAAATAAACAAAACAAAAACAAAAACACAGGCAGAGCAGCTGTGCCCGTGGGGCTGCGGCCTTAGGTTCCCCGTGCTGGCCTCTTGTGGGGAAACTGAGGGGCTATTCCCCTCTTTCTTAGAGACCAATGTCTTTTCTTTCTTTCTTAAAATATATTTTATTGATTTTTGACAGAGAGGAAGAGAGAGATAGAGAGCTAGAAACATCAATGAGAGAGAAAAATCCATCAACTGCTTCCTGCGTGCCCCCTACTGGGGATGTGCCCGCAACCAATGTACATGCCCTTGACCAGAATCGAATCTGGGACCCTTCAGTCCACAGGCCAACGCTCTACCCACTGAGCCACACCGGTCAGGGCCAGTGTCTTCGTTCACTGGCCTGTGTGCTAAGCACCTGTTACTCCCCCACCGATGCCCGCTGAGAGCAGAGGAGCCAGGAACAGCAGTGGCAGCGGCACAGCCCGAGCTGGCAGAAATGGGCAGCACATCCCCATGAGCCGTGTCCATGACCCTGCGGGCCCGTGCTGTGTTCCAGCCCCAGGCCGCCATCTGTGTGAGGTCACGGCAGCCCAAACTCTGTCTTCCTGCCCCTCCCTGGCTTTGGCTGCCATGACAACACTAAGCATCTTACCTTGAGGGAAGGGGCTGAGCTCACAGACTCCTGGCGCGCATTCTGTCCAACCTGAAATTCACACGCCCCGGGGACAGCCCCAAGCCAGGGACCAGTCTGTGCTTCTTTGGCTCAGGTGCCAAGCCCCCTGCTGGCAGCTACTCTCTGGAGGCCCCCAAGGACCAGACTGTGGCTGAGCACCCCTGGGGACCATGGGCTGGCTCCCCATCCTCCCTGCCTGCCTGGCCTCCCTGCCTCCTTGCTGGCCACTCCTGGGGACAGTTTCTTAGCAAGTCCCTCCTCTCAGGGTCTCTTGGGGGCACCGGACCTATGTCCCAGGCTCTGTACATTTCCGGGGAGTGAGGACCTGTGAGACCTCTCAAAGGACTTAGCCGCCCCTTCCCTCAAAGTCCAAAGAAAGTTGCCTCTGCTTCAGGGCCCCTCAGCACTCCCCACTGAGCCCCCCGGCGGTGGGTCTGCCCTTCCAGGTGACACAGCGGCCCAGCTCCCACAAGATGAGGTGTCTTTTCCGGATCAGCTTCGTGCCGAAGGACCCCATTGACCTGTTACGGAGAGACCCGGTTGCTTTTGAATATCTCTACGTTCAGGTATGTGGGCACGATTGGCGTGTTGCAAGTGAATGTTGTGGATAAAGGAACTGGTTCAACACCTCCCCCCCACTTCAGTGGTCTTTGGAAGAAAGTGTGCTCCTCACAGCTCAGCAGGAGGACTGATGCTCAGAGAGACACCCCGAGTTTCCAGGATAAGGGTCAGTAAGCCCTGTTTATCAAGTAAAGAAACGTGAGTGGACGTTACATTGGTTGTGACCCAGAACAGTGAAACTGTCATGACTTGGGTTGCTGTCATTTTTTAATTTTTTAAAAATATCTTTGTATTGATTTCAGAGAGGGGGAGAGAGAAACATCATTGAGAAGAGAGAATCATGGATCAGCTGCCTCCTGCACACCCCACATTGGGGATGAAGCCTGCAACCTGGGCATGTGCCCTGGCTGGTAATCGAACCATGACCTGGTTTGCAGGTTGATGCTCAATCACTGAGCCCCACTGGCACGGCACGACTTGGGTTTTTTAAATGTTGGACTTTAGTCACCTGGACCTCTCAACAATGGCCCTTGTTCCCTAAAAGGCCAGGGAACCCACATGTAACCGCATGAAACAGCCTGATTGACAGCTGGTCTGTTACTGGGTTTTCCCCACATTCCTGCTGAGAACCAGTCGGTGCTTTGCTCAGCAGCCCAGACCTAGAGCTGTGTTTTTTAGCGTATTAGTTGCATATACGCTGAGTGGCCAGACTATGATGATCGCTGAACGCATAATAATCTGGCCACTCAATGTCTATCCTATAGAATAAAAGGCTAATATGCAAATTGTCCTCTTGACCAGCAGGCAGGCCGGCCTACCGCCTATGTCCCCTCCCCCTGGCCAGGCTGGCCAGACCCACCCATGCACGAATTCATGCTCTGGACCTCTAATATATATATTGAGTGGCCAGATTATGATGCGTTCAGAGATCATCATAATCTGGCCACTCAGTGTAGATTGTTACGGGTGCCGATCAGTACCTGACCAGGCATTGTGATCTAGTGCTGGAGTCACCAACCTTTCTGACCTCATGGACCACCAGTGATCCGCAGACCACCAGGCAGTGACCGCTGACCCATTGGGCTGCCATTCTCTCCAATTCTGTACCCATCCTGTTAACACAATAATGCTTTCAAGCCATTTTGCTCTGCTTTTGTTTTAAACATCAAAATCCCATTGAGTGTGTACAACGTGTTTGCAGTTGTCTTGGGGACAGGAGACTACCTGAGTAGGCCAGGAGCACTGCCAGGCATGGCTCTGTAGAAGATGTGTTTGCCCAAATGGAATGCAGACTAAAGGGTCCCAGGTTCGATTCCGGTCAAGGGCACATATCTTTGTTGCAAGCTCGATCCCTGGCCCCGGTCAGCACATGTGTGGGAAGCAACCAATCGATGTGTCTCTCTCACATTGATGTTCCTCTCTCTGTCTCTCCCCCACCCTTCCACTCTCCCTAAAATTCAGTGATTAAAAAAATATCCTCTGGTGAGGATAAACAGAAGACCCATCTTTTTAAGCCTGGGATTGTCCTAACAACAGGAAACCTGTCCAGGGTCTTATCTCCAGAATAGACCTTCCCCACTTGGGTCTGGCATGGGTGGTGGATTAGCAACCCCTTCAACAGGCAGCCCATGAGGGAGGTGGGCAGCCGTGTGGGGCAGGTGATAGACTGAAACGAAGCTGCCATCTCCCCCTTTTCTCTCTTCCACTAAGAACAGGAAATGAGAATTTCTTGGACTCAGACCCTCTGCTTCCAAATGCCTTGCACCGCACCATGTGCAGTGTATCTAAAATAGCTCCCGCCTCACAGCAGCTAGTGGCTCTGCAGATGGTGCTGTGGGCCCATGTTGATTTGAAGGTGCTGAAAAGATGCAGTAAAATTAGTCTAGAAAACAAGAGTAAGCAGAAGCAATATCCACTGAGTGGCCAGATGATGATGATCTCTGAATGCATAATAATCTGGCCACTCAGTGTCTATCCTATAGAATAAAAGGCTAATATGCAAATTGTCCCTTTGACCAGGAATTCGACAAGCAGTCAGACCGGCCAACCGCCCATGTCCCCTCCCGCTGGCCAGACTGGCCAGACCCCACCCATGTACGAATTCATGTACCGGGCCTCTAATACACACACACACACACACACACACACACACACACACACACTGAGTGGCCAGATTATTATGCATTCAGAGATCATCATCATCTGGACAGTCAGTGTATAATGTAATTAAGTGGCTAATCACCTGGATAAGAAATTCACCTAGAATTCCCTTTCAAATACAGGAGATACACATAGTGTAACAGGGATGGGAAACACAGTTCCAATCACAACTCTTAGAAGCAAGAGTGATGGTTCACTTTATAAAGCACGTGACATTTCTGAAACATCCTTACCAGTATAGCAGCAAATGGGCTTGACTTGGCTATTTTAGCCCATTTTTCATATAAGAAAACTGAGACTCTAGAGTGAGGAAATGTCCTGCCCAAGGTCACTGGATGAATAATTGAGAGCCTAGGCTCAAACCTAGAACTCTTGTCTCTAAACCCGATGCTGAAATCCTGTTTCCAACCCATTAAGCCCATAGTCAGCAAACTACAGCTCGAGAGCCACATGCGGCTCTTTGGCCCTTTGAGTGTGGCTCTTCCACAGAATACCACGGCCTGAGTGAGTCTATTCTGAGAAGTGGCATTAGAAGAAGTTTTAAAAATGTGGCTCTCCAAAGAAATGTTAATCGTTGTCCTGTTGGTATTGGGCTCCGTGGACTCATGAGTTTGCCGACCACTGGGTTAGTGTAAACACCCCTGGCTCATATGAGCACACTGAGACTGCAGAAGAAAGCAAACGGGTCCAAGTGACACTCACAGGTGGGCCTGGACCGAGCAGGGACTCTGCCCCTCATCACCTGGCTCATGCCGTCTCCCGGAAGCTGCTCTAAATGATGACTAAGAGGAGGGTGATGGTGACAGCTGTTAGCACATGTCAGCTCTTTCACCTGACCAGGGAGAGGTGCCAGGGCTTTCCATGCTGACTAATGTCACCCTCAACAACCCTGTGAATAGGGAGCAGGGTCCATCCCAGTTTACAGAAGGGGAAACTGAGGCACAGAACCAGGCCCTTTCCCAGTGCCATGCCCTGGTGAGGCGGAGGGACGGGATTGGAAGCCTGGATCCCAAGCCCAGCAGCCTAACTCCAGACACCACTGTGCCGGCAGGGCTCGCGTGTTCAATTGCAGCACCTGTGTTTGGAAATTCCATACCTTAATCCCTAATTCTTCTTACAAAAAGCTAAATATTGAAATAGCAGCTCGCTCGTCGATGGCTGGTAAATATTTTGCGTGGTCTGTCTGTTTGGGAGCGTGATTCAATATTGACTCGTTGCAAGCAGCGCGGGGCGGGGGTGGAGGGGAGATGTTTCCACATTTAGCCTCCTTGCCTGTGCAATGAGGGGGGATGCGGTCACCTGCTCCAACCAGGCAGTGCCTGAGCTCATTCTTTGACGAGCTGCGCCCCCTGCTGGTCTCTCCGCAGAGCTGTAACGATGTGGTACAGGAGCGATTTGGGCCGGAGCTGAAATACGACATCGCCCTGCGACTGGCCGCCTTGCAAATGTACATTGCAACTGTGACCACCAAGCAAACGCAGAAAATCTCTCTCAAATACATCGAGTAAGTGTTTCCTGGGGGTCATTTCGGACACGAAGTCGCTGCCCCCCTTAACGGCCAAGTGCATTGTTGATCTATGTCTACTTCCAAAACTGATCTTGGTGTGGCAGACCATTGGTTAAACATTGGGGAAAAACATACAACTGGCATGTTCATTTTGGGCGGAAGGGATCCGTTTCTTACATAACCCACATTAGGAGAGTTGTGGCTAAAATGAGGGTCATATTGGAAATGAAACATTTTTAAACTCCTACACGGACTTGGTTCCAAGGCAAGCTTTGGTCTCATCGCTTTTCAGGCGCTAAGCTGCTTCCTTCTCACAACATCGCTGTGAAATAAAAAGGGTTTTCGCTCCATTTTATTTATTTTTATTTTTTTAATATATTTTATTATTTTTTCACAAAGAAGAGGGGAGAGGGAGAGAGAGTTAGAAACATCGATGAGAGAAAAACATCCATCAGCTGCCTCCCACACACCCCCTACTGGGGATGTGCCTGCAACCAAGGTACATGTCCTTGACTGGAATCAAACCTGGGACCCTTGAGTCCGCAGGCCAACGCTCTATCCACTCAGCCAAACATGTCAGGGCTTCACTCCATTTTATAGAGGAGCAAACCAAGGCACAAAATAGTGAAATAAATTTGCCCCAGTCACACATGCTAGAGAGGGTGGGATTTGAACCCAGGCAGTAAGAGTCCACATTGCACTATAGTTTGTGTGACGATTCGAAGCACCTGTGTTTAGAGAGCGCACTGCATAACCTGGGGTTATTTTATATGGTCAGCATGTGGCACAAAGAGCAATGTTCTGAGTCTCAGCCTGGAAGAGTGGTGTTTGCAGTAAAGGACAGTGACCCAGTGAGGGAGGATGCTACAGGACCACACTTTGCTTCATGAATCCATCTTTGGGAGACATGCATGCTTGTCTTGCTTGGTACCCACTTAGAGCACCAGTGTGCTTGGACCAGAGAGAGCCCCTCTCCTTAGAAAAGGTAGTTTGTGTCGTCTTCCATTGATGAGTCTGTTTAAGGGTTGCTCTTGAAAAGAGAACCTTCCGTCACCCCGTCTGTGAAGTCTAAGCATGCCAAACTCATGGCTGGCGGGCCGTATGTTTAATGTGCTAATAAACAAGGCATGCGGCCCACTGACCAGGAGTTTGACATGTTTGCACACTCCCCATTGGCAAGTGATTCATACCCGAAAGCAGCCAAACCTTCTTAATCCTGGCAGCTCTGGTGCTAAAACAAAGGAACACATATATTTCAAATTTCATGGCGGGGCTGAAGCTACGTCTCCATCTGACACGAAAAGCCTTACTGTCCCCTCCATCTCTTCCTCCAACAGATGTACAGGCTCAGTGCAATCCCACCCTGCGGTCCCAGGGGCTGTCTAAAAGCCATTCTGAATCCCAGGTCCCCAGGATGACCTCCAGGGGGCGCTGTGGCTTCTTCTCCACAGGCCTGTGAGCTTGTGTTGCATTTTAGGGACTCTGTCCTGGCTGATCATGTGCCCAGCCAGTGTCTTCTAAATTAGGGGAGGAACTTGAGAAGGTGCTGGCTATTTCTCCTGCTCTGGATCCTCTAAAGAAGTGTAGGAAGACAGCCAGCCGTGTGGCCCGGTGGTTGAGTGTCAACCTATGAACCAGGAGGTGACGGGTTGATTCTCGGTCAGGGCACATGCCTGAGTTGTGGGCTCCATCCCCAGTGTGGGGCGTGCAGGAGGCAGCTGATCATGATTATCTCTCATTATTGATGTTTCTCTCTCTCCCTCCCAAGAAATCGTTGCTTGTAGTGTGAGAATCTCAGATCTTTCAGTCCCAGCCACTCCTTTTCACAGATGCGCTCTCTCCTTCTCTCTTACCAAGTGTGCTATAACTGTAGCCTGAGAGTTGCTCCAAAAGGGGTCTCACATTCAGATGGACACATTCAGACCCTCACCCACTCCCCGTTCTGAAGTTGTTGGATGTGGATGAAAATGGCTCCCCATTGGAAAGGGGGCTGCACCAGTTGAGATAAGTCTCAGACAGCCCAAATGTATCTCTGTCCATACTCTGCACCCACATTTCCCCAGGTTGAATGTGGTCATCAAAATTTCCCGAAATAACTAACTTGACTAAGAATCTTGTAGCATCTACTAGATAATGTCCTCATTATTCATACACCTGGCAAATGTTCAGTGAGCATTTTACATGGTATTCACACTGGAACAGTAGAAGGTATAAATTTTAATCTTAGCCATCCATCAACCTGTGACCTGATCATAAGGACAAGACATAAAGATATGAAAAGTAATGACTTAAAATAATAATAAACGTGCTGAAGCTTGTTTGGCTCAGTGATAGAGCATCGGTCTGCGGACTGAAAGGTCCCAGGTTCAATTCTGATCAAGGGCATGTACATTGGCTGCAGGCACATCCCCGGTGTGAGGTGTGCAAGAGGCGGCTGGTGGATGTTTCTCTCTCATCGATGTTTCTAACTCTTTCTCCCTCTCCCTTCCTCTCTGTAAAAAATCAATAAAATATATTTTAAAAAATAATAATACAAGTAGAATTATAAGGTAGCCCCTAAGGACTGCCAAATGATGGCTACAGATAAGAAGTACAGCCCAGCTGGCATGGCTCAGTGGTTGGGTGTCAAGCTATGAATTAGGACAGTGGTCGGCAAACTCATTAATCAACAGAGACAAGTATCAACAGTACAACCATTGAAATTTCTTTTGAGAGCCACATTTTTTAAACTTAAACTTCTTCTCATGCCACTTCTTCTACATAGACTTGCCCAGGCCGTAGTATTTTGTGGAAGAGCCACACTCAAGGAGCCAAAGAGCCGCATGTGACTTGAGAGCTGCAGTTTGCCGACCACTGAACTAGGAGGTCAGGGTTCAATTCCCAGTCAAGCCACATACCCAGGTTATGGGCTCAATCCCCAGTGTGGAGTCTGCAGAAGGCAGCTGATCAATGACTCTCTATCATCATTAATGTTTCTACCTTTCCATTCCTCTCTGGAACACACACACAAACACACAAACTAGAGGCCCGATGCACAAAATCCATGTAAGAGTAGGCCTTCCTTCCCCCAGCTGCTGGCACTGACTTCCCTCTGGCACCCAAGACCTGGGCTTCCCTCGCAGCCCCAGCTTCATCCCGAAGATCATCCAGTCTAATTAGCATATTACACTTTTATTATTATAGATATTTTTAAAATATATAAAGTACAAGCTCAGGAGGAGGAGGAAAGAAATGGTGATTATGAAAAACACCATCTGAGCAGGTGAAGGTGAACAGAGCAGGAGAAATAGTCAGCACCTTCTCAGGTTGTTCACATCATTTAGAAGACACTGGTTGGGCGCATGATCAACCGGGACAGAGTCCCTAAAATTCAAAATATGGAACCTTAGAATAGGATTGTAGTCATAGGGAAATGGCTTCTAGGTTAAAAAAATAAATAAAAAATAAAAAAACTATTCACCCAGTCCAGTTTGTCTGTCTGTTTTCTAATCTATCCATGCCTATGAGATGTGTGTACTTTCCCATCATACCAGACAAACTTAAGGGTCATGAACCCCGCCCTGACTCTACACCAATGTCATTCCTCTTCTCCTCCACCCCAAGCCAGAGATGCTGATGGAAGGAGTTTGGTAGACATGAACTGCCTGTGTCTCTAGGGAAACAGCCATGGACAGGGAGATGAAGAGGGAGGAATGGTTAGGGCATGATAAAGGAATTGTGTCTATCCTTTTTGGAGAAGAGAGACAGAGTGTGGGCAGACAGGGAGAGGTGAGAACTAGAATAAACAAAGGGATGGGGAGAAATGGGTCTGGGAAATACAAGCTCAGATATGTGTGAACTCTGAGAGCCTTGGGGGGAGGATGGGTGTTTGGATGAAGACTCTGCAGTGTCCATTGATCCCAAATGCCTCTTAGCTTTCTGTCTGGGGAATGAATGATGTGTTTCTTTGAAAATGCAAACATGTGTATTAAAGATCAGATAGTGTCTCCTGAGTGTAAATTAAAAGCTGCTTCTCGAACTGGGGATTTGTCTCCTTTTCCTGCTTTGCTAAGACTTCGCTGGTTCCAACAAACATCAGAGTGCCATTTTGTCTTCGCTCACTCCTCATCAGAAGAATGTGAAATTAAAGCTGTGTTCTTTATTGCAGAAAAGAATGGGGATTAGAGACGTTCCTTCCCTCCGCTGTGCTGCAGAGCATGAAAGAGAAGAACATAAAGAAGGCCCTCTCCCACCTTGTCAAAGCAAATCAGAACTTGGTACCACCCGGTAAAAAGGTATCGCATTTGCATCTTAATGGAAAATGGATTTTAAAGAGAGAGGCTTGCATGCATTTTTTTTAAATGTTTAAAATTAGCCCGGGGATAAAAGACTTAGCATCATATTTTCAGAAGCAGAAACATTCTAACCTTTTTAGTTTTCACCATCAACATGTTTAGAAGACTAATGAAAAAGAAGTATTCTTATGGAAACCTATTTCTTTCTTCCAAGCTATAGGCTTGTATTGTATTGAGGGAAGGGAGGGCTGTTCACATGGGCCAGAAGGAGCACCTGGCATAACCTCTGGTTAGAGCCTAGGTCGGCAAACTGTGGCTCTAGAGCTCCTTTGGCTCTTTGGCTCCTTGAGTGTGGCTCTTCCACAAAATACCACGGCCTGGGCGAGTCTATGTTGAAGAAGTAGCGTTAGAAGAAATTTAAGTTTAAAAAATGTGGCTCTCAAAAGAAATTTCAATCGTTGTACTGTTGATAGTTGGCTCTGTTGACTGATGAGTTTGCCGACCAATGGAATAGAGGCTAGACTTGCAAGAAAATTGTACATTTCCATCATACTCTTGCTTTCCACTCAGACCAGCTCAACGGTGCAGCAGCCAGCACGGGCCCCTGCGGGCCGGATGCCACATTGACTAAACCAGGGTTCTCTCCATCAGTACCACTGACCTTGGGGACCAGATTATTCTTTGTTGGGGGCTGGGGCTGTCCTGCTTCCTATGGGATGTTTAGCAGCATCCCTGGCCTCTACCTGCAAGAGGCCAGGAGCACCCAACCCCTCAATTGTGACAAAGATGCCTCCAGACATGTGTCCTGGGGAACAGAATCACCCTAGGTTGACAAGCAGTGAGTGGGACCTTACTTTTGGAAGGACGATGAACTTATTGCTGTGCTCATCATCATTCGTGTTACAATCTTCCGTGTTATCGAGTAGGAGAAACATGAAGGATCTTTTAAAATATACTATTGGTCAGGATAAAGAGCTGTGCTTATAGGTAATACAAAGCACAGAGTTTCAGGGAACAGGGAGAGAAAGACCTTGAAAATATTGGCCCTGTGAAACTGAAAGAAGTCTGACAACACAAGGGCACTTTCCAATTGATGTTGGCCATAGAAACTTGGGAGACGCCAATACAAATCACGGCTTATATGGGCAATTCTTCGGTCTTAGGATCTGATCTTAAGTCATTTTTACTTGCTTATTTCTATTCCCTCCTCACCCTGTGGCTTTTTTTATTTCAATTTTTTATAATTGTTCTATTTTGTCATTAGTTGTTGTTAATCTCTTAGTGTGCCTACTTTATAAATTATTCTTCATCATAGATATGTATGTATAGGAAAGAACATAATATATATAGTTCGGTACTGTCTATGGTTTTGGACATCCACTGGGGGCTTTGAAATATACTAGTATATCCCACAGATAAGGGAGGGCCATTGTACTCATTTTCTTTATACCACATTGCCACTTTTTAAAATTAAATTACTAGAAGCCTGATGCACAAAGATTCGTGCTAGAATGGTCCTTCCTTTCCCTGGCTGCCAGCACCGCCTTTCCACCCCAGCCCAACAGCCCCAGAGCCACCTCTTTCTGCTCTGGCCCCACCTTCCCAGGCTGCCCAGAGGCCAGAGGTTGGGTGGAATGCCATGGCAACGATGCAAGTGTCCTGTCTGCTCCTAGTCACTCGGGAGCCTATGTATGCAAATTAACCACCATATTTGTTGGGTTCATTTGCATACTCACTCTGATTGGCTGTGGGCATAGTGGAGATACGGTCAGTTTACACATTTGTCTATTATTAGGTAAGATATTGGAGTGACGTTAGTCAACATGCACATACAGGTTTCATGTATGGATTACTAAATTATAAAATCTGTATATAGGACCTTGTGCCCACCATCCAAAGTCCAATCTTCTCCTGTCACTTCATATGAGGACCCCTTTCTCCCCCACCCCATGTTTTTTTTTAAACAAATAATCTGATTCAACATACTATCAGCATCTTCAGCTTACTTCCAGTTCCTGGAACCATTCAGCTCATAGGAATGCAGCAGGACATCACAGATCAAGATTTTTTAAACTTTACATCTGATTTTCCCAAAGCTAATTTCTCTTGACTAACTTGATAGGTTTTTTTTTTTCAAGCCTGGCCCACTGGCTTTCTAATTTGGATGCCTGCTCTAAGATCAATTGATCTACCTGTCCATAAAGGTCATTCCTTCTAGCCAAGGGTGAGTGGTTTGCTTTCAAATCGATTTGCAAATTGCTTTGGGATTTTAGAAGAAATAGGATGGATGAACAGTCCTGAATACCAGTTACATAAAGGGTGGCGCACTTAGGTGAGTTAACTATGAGTTGGCAAGTCATCTGTGATTGAAAACAGTCACCTCTATGGAGGGTCTATGCTTGTTGGGAAATCTTGTCCCCAACCAACATTCCTGGCACACGCAGTATGAACCATGGACTTTTTTTTTTTTTAATCAAGTACTTTTTTTTATTACATGGGAATCTACATATGTAAGTCTTTCTGAAGATAGATCTTATCTGGATAAAATTTCACTTGTGAATCATTCATAAACCTCAATAGATTCCTGGAATCAAATGAATGAAACAGAGACTTAGAGAGCAAGTTCCAACATTTCCACAATGCTTGGAGCTCAGGAAGTTTATTTTCCCCTCAACATTTGCATAGACTGTGAGAAACTTGAGATGGGGCATGTAGAGCCTGTGTAAAGGCTTTATATAGATGGCAGGTGTGTATTCAAAACTACATACAGGTAGATCTCATGTGTAGTGGGAGAATGTGCAATAACCTTTGTCCCTGATTGCAATTGGAGACATCACTTACCTTTTGAAACCTCCTTGTGAGTAGATGTTTCAGTGGAAAATTTTATCTTGTTCTCACTTTTAAAAATATATACGGTATATGTGTTGTTGTTTTTTTGTTTTGTTTTTTGTGTGTCTTTTTTATTATTATTAATTTCAGACAGGAAGGAAGAGGGAGAGAGAGAGAAAGAAACATCAATGATGAAAGAGAATCATTGATTGGCTGCCTCCTGTGCGTTCCCCACTGGGGATTGAACCCGCAACCTGGGCATGTGCCCTTGACCAGAATCGAACCTGGGATCCTTTAGGCCGCAGGTCGACACTATCCACTGAGCCATACCTACTAGGGCTTGTTCTCACTTTGTTGAGTGACCTGGCCCACTGCATCTGTACTTATGAGTCCCCCATACATTTCCCCAAAGTAAAACAAATTTAATTTAAAGGTCCTGTCACCATCTTCATCAGGAAGGCAAATACAGAGCAATTTTAAAAAACATATATTTTATTGATTTTTTAGAGAGGAAGGGAGAGAGATAGAAACATCGATGAGAAAGAAACATCGATCAGCTGCCTCCTGCACACCCCCTCCTGGGGATGTGCCTGCAACCAAAGTACATGCCCTTGACAGGAATCGAACCTGGGACCCTTCAGTCCGCAAGCCGACTCTCTATCCACTGAGCCAAACCAGTCAGGGCAAAATACAGAGAAATTTTATTTTGTTTTTCATCGTGAGTTCTTGTCACACACGCCTGTTGGCAGTCATCATCTCATTTGCCCTTGTTTTCAGCTGGTCTCTGGCAGAACAGAGTCACACCAATGGAGTTAACACCTGATGTTTCTTCTCTCCCCACAGCTCTCTGCCCTGCAAGCCAAGGTCCATTATCTCAAGTTCCTCAGTGACCTTCGTCTGTATGGGGGCCGTGTGTTCAAGGCAACGCTAGTGGTAATTTCTTTTTCTCTTTTTTTTTTGTTTTTTCTGGAAAGTCATGGAGGCCTGGAAATGTCACTGCATGGGCTGTCTTATATGAGCTGCTCTTGATGACAGAAGCAAATCAGCTGTGAATACTTTCCAACTTGGTTTCTAACTCACTGCACCCCAGTCTGAACTGGGGAAAGAAATGTGAAACTAGACAGCAGCAGCGCAGCGTGTCCTGGAAAAAGAAAGTGTTATACCCAGAAGTGTTGTACTCTGACCATGGCCCTCCTTTCAGTCGTTGGGCCAAAAGTTGCTTTCCCATAAAAAAATATTTTTTTCATTTCTAAAAACCTCTCATGATTATGAATGTACATGCTATGGTAACATTTACTCTCCATGTTCTTCTTAATTTATCAGAACCTCAATGCAGTCATGGATGTGATTCTAATTGGGTGACTTAGTACAATAAAACCTAGAAATACTTTCTAAAGAAAATGTTGTTTTGCCCAGTTGGCATGGCTCAGGGGTTGAGCATCAACCTATGATCCAGGAGATCAGGGTTCGATTTCCAGGCAGGGAAATCGCTGGGTTGCGGGCTCCATCTCCAGTGGGGGACGTGTAGGAGGCAGCCGATCAATGATTCTTTCTCATCATTGACCTCTCTCTCTCTCTCTCTCTCTCTCTCTCTCTCTCTCTCTCTCTCTCTCTCTCCCCTCCTTTCCTCTATAAAATCAGTAAAAATCTGTTTTAAAAAAAAAGCAATTTTATAAAAACATTCTCTGGGGTCTTAAAAGTCTAGTATTTTTATATTTTGTCAACGTCCCTTTCTCAGCAGGCAGAAAAGCGCTCGGAAGTGACTCTCCTGGTGGGGCCCCGATATGGCATAAGCCATGTCATAAACACCAAAACCAACCTGGTGGCTCTCTTAGCTGACTTCAGTCATGTGAACAGGATCGAGATGTTTACTGAAGAGGAGAACTTGGTGAGGGTGGAGCTCCATGTCCTGGACGTGAAGGTAAGTCAGCCGGATATTGGCACATGGCCTGGATTTAAGCAGCTCATTTGTGCTACACCCATGGTTAGCAAACTACGGCCCCTTGAGTGTGACTCTTCCACAAAATACCACGGCCTGGGCGAGTCTATTTTGAAGAAGTGGCATTAGAAGAAGTTTAAGTTTTAAAAATGTGGCTCTCCAAAGAAATTTCAATCGTTGTACTGTTGATATTTGGCTCTGTTGATTAATGAGTTTGCTACACTGTGCTACACTGCTGCTACTTACAAAGCAGGTAGAATTGCACAGTGTCCAGAGCATCCAAGATGCAATATGATGCAGAAAGCAAATCCACCCACCTCACAGGGACAAGTTGCTCTTCTCCTCTGAGCTCAGTTTCTTCTTGTCTACATAAGAGAGCAAGCAAGTTCATGTCTGAGGTCCTTTCAGCTCCAGAACACATGAGTCATAGAGAGTGGGAGAGACTGTTTGCTTCTAACTTTTTAGAATATATGAGTCTTGTATAGACAGGGAAATTTTCTCCAACTCTGGTTAGAACTACCACTCCCTTGCATTAGATTGGGTCCCCTGTGTTTTTGTTTTGTTTTGTTTTGTTTTGTTTTGTTTTGTTTTGTTTTGTTTTGTTTTAGAAAAGCTGAGTATGTTAGTCAGTCTGTCTTTTCGTACTATACCAACTGGTCCTGATTCCTATGAATGTCATGGCCATTCCATTTAAAACAACAATCTGAGATCCTCCTCAAGGGGTAAAGCTTTACTCCCCAAATAGACGTTGTTAGGAAGTGATAAAGGCCCCTTGACCCCCACCTTCTTGTCCCAGTAAGAGGTGAGTTGTTGGATTTGGGCATTGTTGATGCATCCAGTGTTTTTGTGGAGAAGAAGCACTGACTGGAAGAGAGGTCCACAAAGCAAACACTGTCTACCGGAAGTGCTCTGAGAACAGGCAGGGGGGACCCACTCCCACCATGGTGGCATGGGCAGAGCGGATTAAGAGGAACTGAGAATATGGGAAAAGGTTTCTACACAGCATATTGGAAAGCATCAGTGCTCTGCAGCAGGAAGAGGTGACCTTGAGAAGGTGGAGCTCCGCCATGTTGGCCATGGCCCATGGGATTTCATGGGCTAAACCCAAGGTCTCTCTTTGACTTCAATGTGTAAGAATAGACTTGGCATGCCTGCCCTCATCTATGATCAAAGATGCTGAAAACAATAGCCCATCATGACAAAGGATGAATTGGATGCATTCATCACAGGCCTGCTAACTAGGGATAATCTCTCCTAAACAGAAGTGGATGGCAAGACCCTATTCATGGCTTCCTGCCTGTGTAAATAATTGTGGGGTGGCTTGAGGGGGGACCTCAATTGAAATGGGAGGAAAAGGCAGTTCAGTAAGTAGTAGAGCAGCTTTGGGTGGGAAGTTAGATTCTATAAGTGGGGTCATCAAACCTGCCCAGTGTCCTACAGCAGAGAATAAAAGCAAAAGGCCTATCATCTCACTATTTCTGTGTCTCCCTATTAGGGTCTCTGCTTTTTTGTTGTTCCCTTCTTTCCCTCTTGCTTTGTCTGTCAACAAGAGCACACCAGCCCCTCTAGCCTACCTAACTCAATGAGAATAATTGCTTAAATGGAACACTTCCTTTCCCTATAGTCTCAAGATCTGTGTACCAGGAAATAATAACCTCATTGGTTCCAGAAAGTTTTAATTTTTAGCAAGGCCTTTTCTCAATTCCCATCTCTCCTTTGACTTCCTATTAAGTGACAGTTTCTTTTAGAAGCAGCCTTTTTCTGGATCTCTTTGACAGTTTTTGTTCAGTCTTAGCAGTAATTTCCACTTCATGTTTACTTCTCTTCAACACTAATTTTCATCATGAAACCAAATTTAACTTCCTATAATTTTTTTCAGATTGTGAGTTCAAATCTGCTAACAAATTCTTTAATTATCACTTTTTTAAAAATGTTGACTGTTTGGGAACAAAACCAATGTTATTTTCTTTTTGGACTTGGAAAAGGTTCAAAATGTCTAGGTTTCAAAATGATGCCACCTACATGTTTCTGAGTAAGGCTCTCTGTGTTACGCCTGACCTTTTCCCCACATTTCTGTTTCTCCGATGAAATGGTTGCTCAATAACTTTTATTGTTTACATTTCCTATGCACAAATGCTGTCATTGTCACCTGAGGGAAGATAGCCAGGAGAGATGGCTTTAACCAAGTCGTTCTCTTTTGTGTAGCCAATCACGCTGCTAATGGAGTCATCAGACGCCATGAACTTGGCCTGCTTAACAGCTGGATACTACCGACTACTTGTGGATTCCAGGAGGTCCATCTTTAACATGGCCAACAAGAAAAATGCCGGGAGCCAGGATACAGGTATTCTCTCCCATCCATTTGACCAAAACAATAAGGATCTTTCTTTTATATATATACATATACTAGAGGCTCAGTGCACAACATTCGTGCACTGGGGGAAGGGGGCTGTCTCTCAGCCCCACCTGTGCCCATTTACAGCCCAGGAATTCTTGGGAGATGTCCACCTGATAGGGAGTGGGCCTAAGCCAGCAGTCAGATAGCCTTAGCACTACTATGGAAGCGGGAGAGGCTCCCACCACTGTCACTGGGCTCACCAGCCATCAGCCAGCCTTCTGGCTGAGTGGTGCTCCCACTGTGGGAGCACACTGACCACCAGGGGGCAGCTCCTGTGTTGAGCATCTGCCCCCTGATGGTTAGTGACGGGTCATTCTGCCATTCGGTCTATTTGCGCATTACCCTTTTATTAGATAGTATATATGTTTGTATTGATTTGTATAGAGAGGAAGGCAGAGGGATAGAGAGATAGAAACATCAATGAGAGAAGAACATCATTGATCAGGTGCCTCCTGCACACATCCCCAATGGGGATCAAGCCCGCAACCTGGGCATGTGCCTTGACCGGGAATTAAACTAGTGAACTCTTGGTTTCTGGGTCGACACTCAACCACTGAGCCACAGTGGCTGGGCAGGATTTTTCTGGAAAAGTTAAAATCATATGCATAAAAATCTAATGTCCAAATTTAACACAAGAGCCTTCAAGTCTATCTATATGGCCTAGTTATTTTCTCTGACAATGTTGATTTCAGCATCACATTTTACATGTCACTCGGAAATGCAGGGGCATATGCTATAAAAGCAGGGGTTTGGTGAATGTGATGGGAGTGAGCCTCAGTCTGTATGGCCGGGCTTTCATGTCTCCCTATCCTAGGAGTCAACATGCAGAGAACTGACAATAGGGTGCCCCATTGGAAGGGAGAGCCCCTTGAGGTGCTCTAGGCACAGAGGCCTGGGCCCCTCCTCAGGCATCCAATTTACCTCCAGGATCTAGTAACTCTTCCAACAGGATGACTTGGGTATCACCCAGGACTTGAATTTGGGGCTTTAACTCTGTATTGGGAGCTTGGAGATCACACACATATCACATACTTCAATCCTGCCCCTGGACAGGGCGAAAGAAACCAGAAGTGAGGACTAGGAGGGCTGCAAACATGACACTGGCAAGTTCTCCGAGGGTGGGTGGTTTTAATTTGCTTTGCAACTGTTTGCTTTAGTGTTTGACCTTTCCTCCGTCTTCAAGGGACGCTCAGGAAATGTGGCTGATGGACAGATACCAACTATTCAAGCCAAATCTCCTGACCCGTGAACAATGGCTAATTGCATTTCGTAATAGTCTGATTGGGTTCTGTAACAGGGCTTCTGTGGAAGAGAGGGACATTTCTTAAGAACAAATTCCGTCTTCAGTGTGTCTGAGGGCAAGGAGGAAGAAGAGGGGGAGATTCTCTTGCTTTTACACAGCAGGAACCATTAATGTTTACTGCAGAATGCATTGTGATGTGGAAGCACACACAGAGACAGAGGCGCAGGCAGTAGATGATGATGGCCGGTTAGATGGCAGCAATGCCAGTCACAGGATAAAGGGGAACCAGAGGAAAAGAAAGAGATGGACAAGGCATGCCCAAAGTAACTTGGACTTGAGACTAGATTTAATCCAGCCCCATCTTGAAATGCCTGTGTGTGTATTTTAACTTTTATTTATTTATTTATGTATTTATTTTTAATCTTTATTGTTGAAAGTATTACATCTGCCCCTTTCTCCCTACTAACCCCTTATAGCCCTCCCACCCCCATCTCAGGCCTTCACCGCTCTATCGACTGTGTCCATGGGCCATGCATATATGCATACAAGGTCTTTGGTTGATCTCTTACCACCCACCCTCCCTCTCCCACCTTCCCTCTGAGATCCTACAGCCTGGTCCACGCTTCCATGTCTCTGGATCTATTTTGTTCATCAGTTTACTTTGTTCATTGGATTCCACGTGAGTGAGATCATGTGATAATTTGGGGTTTTTTTCATTTGTACAGTTGGGATTTAAAACCTAGCTTTCAAGGTAAGAACTAGAAAAAAGAAATCTTAAGTACCATCCTTAAAACGATGCTTGGTGCCTCTACTAATAATTGGCAGTGGGAGAAAAAAGCAGAAATGGAAAAAAATTCAGAATGAAAGTGACAGAACACAGAAAGGAATGGAAGACAGACATAAGACAAGGAAAAACCCTGAGAGACACAAATTATTAGAAATAAATACGGAGCCGAAGCCGGTTTGGCTCCGTGGTAGAGCATCGGTCTGTGGATTCGATCAGTCTCAGGTTCGATTCTAGGCAAGGGCATGTACATTGGTTGCAGGCACATCCCCGGTGGGGGGTGTGCAGGAGGCAGCTGGTCGATGTTTCTCTCTCATCGACGTTTCTAGCTCTCTATTTCTCTCCCTTCCTCTCTGTAAAAAATCAATAAAATATATTTTTTTAAAAAGAAAAGAAATAAATACGGAGCCCTAACTGGTTTGGCTCAGTGGATAGAGCGTTGGCCTACAGACTGAAAGGTTTGATTCCGGTCAAGGGCATGTACCGTGGTTGTGGGCACATCCTCAGTAGGGGGTATGCAGGAGGCAGCTGATCGATGTTTCTCTCTTATCCATGTTTCTGGCTTTCCCTTTCTCTCTGTAAAAAAAAAATCAATAAAAAAATTTTTGTTAAAAGAAATAAATAGGGAGGGAACAAAACGGAGGTGGTGAGTACTGTTGGGTTTGATGGAGAACATTTTTATGACCATGTGTTTTCACTGACTAGAAGGTTTAGAGCAATTTAACACTGACCTTAGAAATTCTGAAGAGCAGTTCAGCAACTTAACACGGTCCTTTAATATTTGAAAACCAGTTTTTGGCTTTGTATTTTCAAATCTTAAAAGTTTATCTTGAAAATACAACCTTTTGCAGGTGCACGAAGAAGAGCAGCCAGACCACTCTAAGGCTGGTTATAGTAGGAAGGGCCTGGCTTCTGTCCACTTTCTAGTGACTCACAATGTAATGTTGAATGAAATTTCAAGAGGCAAAAACTTAGTTCCAGAAAGTATTATCACCACGGGGAAAGAGTGGAATTTCAACCTTTCCGTAATTTCTCCCAGTTCTATAGTGAGAATGAGGGTGAGGGAACATGTTGAAAGTATCTCTCTCTACTCTCAGAGAGAGAGAGAAATTGAGAGGCAGAGAGCATGAGCACGAGTGAGTGTGTGTGTGTGTGTGTGTGTGTGTGTGTGTGTAAGAAGGGAGGACAAGGAAGAGAAGATGGCATACTCCAATTGCCTTGCTTTTAGCCTGCTGACCTATTCAGTTTTCTTGTTGGTTTAATCCAGGAGTTGGCAAACTATGGCCCCTGTGCCAAATCTTGTTCTTATAAATAAAATTTTATTGGCATTCAGCCATGCACATTGTATTAGTCTCTCAGGGCTCTGTAACAAAATACGTCAAACTTGCAGGTGTAACATCAGAGAAACTTATTCTCTCACCGTTTTGGCAGCTAGAGGTTCAAAATCCAGCTGTTGGCGGGGTTACGCTCCCTCCAAAGGCTCTAGGGGAGAAACTTTTCTCTCCTCTTCCCACTTCTCATGGGAGTCGGCATTCCTTGTGGCTGTGTAACTCCAATATCTGCCTTTGTCTTCACATGGCCCTCCCCTCGTCTGTCTGTGGTCCAAATCTCCCTCCACTTTTCTTCTATGAGAAAATAATAATCCAGTTGCCATTGGATTTAGTGCCCTTACAATAGTTGAGGATAATCTCATCTCGTGATCCTTAATTTAATTACATCTACAAAGACTCTTTTCCAAATAAGGTCACATTCACAGAATGGACATACCTTTTGGGGCCACCATTTAGCTACTACATCCATTTGTTTATGAATGATCCTTGGCTACTTTCATGTTACAACAGGGTTGAGAAGTTGTTCAGCTGAGCAGTTGGCCCGCAAAACCTCAAGTATTTATGATCTGGCCCTCCCTTTACAGAAAAAGTATGCTGGACTCACAACTTTGCTGAACCACTTTAGCGCTGCCTGATAAGCTATACCCTGACACACATGTGCATGTGTGTGTGTGCGCACATACACACACACACAGCTGGTCATACACACACACACAGCCGGTCATAATGTAGGTTGTCATTCATAAAACAATGCTAAACCGCCACAGATATACTTACTATAAAACATGCAAATATGGCTGGTGTGCAACTCAGTGTCTTTAAAGTGATAGGTTTTGCTTGCTATTCATAAAAAAGAATATATATTTAGTAAAATGACTTGGAACATTGTTCAGCATTGAGTCCATTGTATAGTTTTGGGGAAGCAAACCCTCTTCAGTAAAAGTAATTTCTCCCCAGGTCTTGTATATCTGATGTTAGTATGACATCAGATATACTTACTATATCTGATGTCATACTAACAATTTGAGGGAACAGATGGGAAAATAGGTGGCCCAAACACTTCCTCAAAATGTTACCTCTGGAATCCACAAAGCCGTATTGATAGTGACACACTGGCCCATCTTGTTAAATATCAGGAACAAAATCTCCACTACAAAATCCCTATAGAAAGACCCTTAAATCCCAGCTGGTGTGGCTCAGTGGTTAAGTGTCAACCTATGAACCAGGAGGTCACGGTTCAATTCCCGGTCAGGGCACATGCCTGGGTTGTGGACTTGATCCCCAGTGTGGGGTGTGCAGGAGGCAGCTGATCAACAATTCTTTCTCATCCTTGATGTGTTCCCCCCCCCTCTCTCTTTCCCTTTCCCTTCCTCTCTGAAATCAATAAAAACATTTAAATAAAAAAATAAATAAATAAGACCCTTAAAGGGCAAACAAAACAATAATTTTTAAATTAGGATTTTGCTGTTTTAATTCAAGCAGGCCATAAAACAAGTCTTCAGAAAGTTCTCATGGCACAAATAAACATTAAAATTAGTCCAAGTGTTAACTATGCTTGGAAATAGCAGAGAGAAGTACATTAGCTCTGCATGCTTCACCTTCTGCACCATATTCGCATGTGCGTACAGCATGGGTACTAACATTCATGTGGATATATAAACATCCACTAGGATATAAAAGAGCTGAAGAGAGAGGTTTTCATGTTATCATTCCAATATTTATTACATTACATTTTATTGATATATTTTATTATTGCATGATCATTAGAATATCTTCTAAGATACATGGCAGAAGTATGGGAATCCTTAATTTTCTCTTAAAGAGGAAAAAGGCCCACATCTTCCTCTACAAAGTGGCTAATGTTAGATCTTGCTTGACAAAGTAAAGGGCAAATCATTTTCTGCAATAACAGCTATTGGACTGCCACCTTTAAGGATTTGAAAAGGCATGTTTTATACTCACCTTCACAGATAGACGTGAGGTCTTTTAATAATAGAACTAAGAGTCAGATGGAATTAAGCTATAGTTCCCTACTCTCAGATGGTATTATATGTTATCAAATAGCAATGATAATTCATGCAATACCTATTCTGTTATGGTCAATTCTCCTAACCAAGAAACCATTACATCATCCGAGGCCTAAATTGACCACTGCCATATTTGGAAAGCTCAGTAACCCTGTTTTTATAAAAGTGATGTTACAAGCCATTAAATTAAGAAGCAGCCTGGCCGGCATGGCTCAATGGTTGAGCATCGACCTATGAACCAGGAGGTTCGATTCCCGATCAGGGCACATGCCATGATGGGGTTGCAGACTTGACCCCCAGTTGGGAATGTACAGGAGACAGCCTGATTCTCTCCCATCATTGATGATGTTTATACCTCTCTCTCCCTCTCCCTTTCTTGCTAAAATCAATAAAAATAGATTTTGAGAGAGAGAGAGAGAGAGAGAGAAAGAGAGAGAGAGAGAGAGAGATTCAAGACCCCCGGAAACCAGACAGCACTGTAATATGTCTTTGCGTGATTCTTTCTCCATAGGGACTGAAAACAAAGGAAAGCTTAACATCCTTGGCCCTGATTGGAACTGTGTACCCCAAATGACCACCTTTATTGGCGAAGGGGAGCAAGAGGCCCAGATCACATATGTAGATTCCAAACAGAAGACGGTGGAGATCACGGATGGCACCTCGTGTCCAAAAGACCACCGGCACGTCTACTTGGCCACCACCTACAACCCCGATGAGCTCAACCCACAGCTGGCACCGCCAGGAGATGCTCCGTGCGAGGCCGACTACAGAGGTCTTGCTCCGCGGTCCCTGTTGACCTTCTCGGGACCAGACACCCTGAAGAAGGCACAGGAGTCTCCGCGGGGCGCCAAAGTGTCCTTCATCTTTGGAGACCTCGCCATGGACGACGGCATTAGCCCCCCAGCTCTCAGCTACGACAGACTCTTGGAGGAGAACCCGGAGCTGCTGGAGAAGCAGACGAGCCTCTACATGAGAAGTGCCAACGACGTGAAGGCCCTGGACCTGAGCCCCGATGCGGACAACATGCAGTTCATGGAAAACTCCGTGTACGCCAACATAGGTGACGTGAAGAGCTTCCAGGCCAGCCCGGGCATCGAGGAGCCCCTGCTGCATGACATCTGCTACGCGGAGAACACCGACGACGCGGAGGATGAGGACGAGGTGAGCTGCGAGGAGGACCTCATGGTGGGAGAGATGAACCAGCCGGCCATCCTCAACCTGTCGGGCTCCAGCGACGACATCATTGACCTCACGTCCCTGCCGCCCCCGGAAGGGGATGACAATGAGGACGACTTCCTGTTGCGGTCCTTGAACATGGCCATCGCCGCCCCCCCTCCCGGCTTTCGAGACAGCTCCGATGAGGAGGACTCTCAGAGCCAGGCAGCCGCCTTCCTCGACGACAAGGGGCCCGGTGGCGGCGGCCTGCAGAACGACGAGATCCCCGTGTCCCTCATCGACGCGGTGCCCACCAGCGCCGAGGGGACGTGCGACAAGGGACTGGACAAGCCGGCCGCCCCCGCGCCGGGAGCTCTGGCCGTGTCGGAAGAGCAGCAGACCAGTAACAATTCAGGTTCTTTCACGATCGTTACATTCATTCACTGATAAGCACCTCATCACCGCATCCCATCGAGCCATTTGCCCTCGGAGCCCCGTGCGCGCTGCTCTCCATCTCACGCATGTCCCATTTCATACATGTGCGGGCACTCCCATCGTGGCTTTTGTTGGTGTATGTGGTTTCTTTTGTTCCTTTAAAAAAAAAATAAATACATGTGGCACGCTTCCCTCCCTCTCCCATTTCTGGAACATCCGGGCAATAAACTCAGTCCTCCCCGATAAGGGACACGCTGGTTCGGTTAGGTTCTGTTCTGTTCTGGTCACAATGCTCCCATTCCCGCACGCGGCTCCCGGGGCCTCTCCGCACCCATTAACCGCCTCTTGTTTCTCACGGCATGCAGGTGTAGCCATCTTGAGGGCTTATAGCCCCGAGTCTTCCTCAGACTCGGGCAATGAGACTAACTCCTCTGAAATGACGGAGAGCTCGGAGCTGGCCACAGCGCAGAAGCAGTCCGAGACGCTCTCCCGCATGTTCCTGGCCACGTCTGAAGGCTACCACGCCCTCGCCGAGGAGCAGACAGAGTTCTCCACCTCCGCTTCCACCTCCACCTCCACTCCCATTTCCAAGGCCCCTGCCGGGGGCGCCCTGCCCCCCAAGGCCCCTCATGCCCTGGCCACTCGGCCCGGGGTGGACCTGCCGTCCAAAGTCGTGCCTTCCAAGCAGATCCTGCACTCGGGCCACATGGAGATGGAGCCCGAGACCATGGAGACCAAGTCGGTGACGGACTATTTCAGCAAACTGCGCCTGGGCTCCGTGGCCTACTCCTGCACCAGCAAGAGGAAAAGCAAGGCGCCCGACGGGGAGGCCAAAGCCCCCGCCAGTGGAGCGAACGGGACGGCGCCGGCGGGGAAGAAGCAGCAGGGGGCCAAGGCCGCCGAGGCTGAGGAGGACGCCAAAGGTAAATTCGGTACTATGTCTACCAGGGACGGTCAGCGCCTGGGCCCTTTTAACCTGGAGAGAACTGCCTTCCGCAAGGACAGCCAGCGATGGTACGTGGCCGCAGAGGGCGGGCTGGCTGACAAAGGCGCCCTGGAAGCGGCCACGGGGATGTTCCCGCGAGCCCCTGGCCTGGGAACAAGGGAGGCCGAAGGGAAGGATGAAGGGGCCCCCCACGGGGATACCGCTGAGGTTTCAGGCCTCGGCCAGCGAGACCACTTCTTAACAGACGTGACCTGTGTCTCTTCAGCCAAAGACTTAGACAACCCCGAGGGTGCCGCCCCGCCTACCTGTGACCGCCCTGCCCAGCTGGCCGGCGCAGAAGACAGCGTGGCCCACCTCTGTGACTACCACTTGGCCAAGCGGATGTCATCGCTGCAAAGCGAGGGCCATTTCTCCCTCCAGAGCTCGCAGGGCTCCTCGGTGGATGCCGGCTGCGGCACAGGCAGCAGCGGCAGCGCCTGCGCCACGCCCGTGGAGTCCCCACTCTGCGCCCCCGTGGGGAAGCACCTGCTTCCGGAGGCCGCAGGCAAAGGCGGGCCTTACGTTCCTTCCTCCGAGGAGAGAGCCACGGGGCTTCCTGGCCATGGAGCCCCCTTTAAGGAATCACACCCCCAGGCGGAAGGGGTGTGTCCCCGGATGACAGTGCCTGCCCTGCACACAGCCATTAATGCTGAACCCCTGTTTGGGACTTTGAGAGATGGATGTCACCGACTCCCAAAGATTAAGGAAACTACAGGTACAGAAATGAGGGATTTAGGGCTTTGCCTGATCTACCAGAAGCCTGTAAACCTAACTCACAACAAACCTAGAAACATGAAATCTGGCCCTAGCCGGTGTGGCTCAGTGGATAGAACATCAGCCTGCAGACCAAAGGGTCCAGGGTTTGATTCTGGTCGAGGTCAGTTACCTTGGTTGCAGGCTCCTACCTGGCCCGGGCCCTGGTCGGGGCTCATGCAGGAAGCAACCAATCGATGTGTTTCTCTCACATCGATGTTTCTCTCTGTCTTTCCCTCTCTCTTCCACTCTCCCTGAGAATCAATGGTAGAGATGGCACTGCTCTTTAGAATCTTAATCTGTTCTTGCTTTTAGAGTCGGAGGGAGCAGTATTTGTTCCTAAATTATAAATGTAGCATTCCGGCAGTGTCCAGGGTGACTTTTGATTACAAGACGATATAGCTTAGAGTCATAGAACAGTTTGATTTCCTTTGTAAGATGTTGGATTTCTGATTTTGCCATTGCATTTTTTGAGAGGCAAGGAAGGATCATAGAGCAGGGGATCAGGGAGATCGGAGGGTCTAGGGGAAACCGTTCACCTTTCAGCAATAGTTACAGATTCCTCTTGACTCTGGAAGTCTCCTAGAGGGATATTCTGACGTGTTAATGAGATCTTACATTGGTTAATGTCTATTCCTGCTTTTTTAAGATTATCTACTTTCTCAAAACCCACCACTCAATTAAAAAAAAAAAAAAAAAAAGGCCCTAGCCTGCTGGCTCAGTTGGTTAGAGCACCGTCCCCATACACCAAGGTCGCGGGTTCAATCCTCAGTCAGGGCACATACAAGAATCAAGCAATGAATGCATAAATAAGTGGGACAGCAAATTGATCTCTCTCGCTCGCTCGCTCTCTCTCTCTCTCTCTCTCTCTCTCTCGCTCTCGCTCTTGCTCTCTCTGTCTCTTTAAAAATCAATTTTTAAAAATATATTTTTATTGATTTCAGAGAGGAAGGGAGATGGAGAGAGAGAGAGAAACATCAGTGATGAAAGAGAATCATGGATTGGCTGCCTCCTGCACACCCCCTACTGGGGACTGAGCCCACAACCCGAGCATGTGCCCTTGACTGGACTTGAACCCAGGACCATTTAGTCCGCAGGCCAATGCTATACTATATCCACTGAGCCAAACCAGCTAGGGCTAAAATCAATTTTTTTAAAACCCACCACTGGCTTCACCTGCCATGGGAAACCCGCCTATGAATTTACATAACTCACCACCAAACTGTTATCTTTATCTCTAAACTAATTAGAGCATGCTTTTACCAACTTACCTCTTCTCACAAAAAATTCTGTGAAATGGAGATTTCTTCACATAATTTGTGTCTCCATGTCAAAACCTATACCAGGAGAATTTCATGGGATCCTCTTTCAAAGGCGAGCTGATATAATTTGCATTCAGTAAATTAGGCCACTTCTTTATAAAAAATTAACAGATGCCAGGATTACCTTAATTCCCTTGAAATGAAACATCAGTGTCATAAACATGTTTGAATAGTTTATATCTAGAATGCGTGTTTTCTAATTACATGTCTAAACTTTGACAGGTAAATGGGAGCAAAACAATTAATATAATTCCATTGTCTCCCTGGAAACACTGGGGATTTCTAGACAATTCCAAATGAGTCAGTAGTCTAAGAAATAACAGTCTACAGTATTTTTTTAATCTGATCTCAGAAGGCAGTCTTTGGAAAGCAGGGGACCCTGACAAATGACAGCCCTTCTAGAATGCATCCTTGGGAAATAGCAATCATCGCCAAGAGACGTAGTGAATTGACCACCATAAGATGTTTAATGATTCTCTCTGTTTTTTTTCTACTCCCCCTAGTGTAGCTATGACAGAGTGTGGGAAGGAGAGACGAGGAGGCATGCCTTCATTGTGGTCTCAGTATCCTGAAGCTGATCCCATCCTGCTACCATCAAACATTCACTCGGAATCAAAGGTGCCAATTCCAAATCAAGACCCCATTGATTTCTCCCAAGCATACCAGCCCTACGGAGGGGCTGTGAGTTGGCAGCCGCTGGATGTGAAAGGGGAGAGCCGTGGGACACCCCCCAGCCAGAGGGCTCTGAGACGGAGCAGCAGTATCCTCTCAGGATGTATAGGATTGGAGACCTTCCGAGAGAGAACCAAGGGTGCAGTCAGTGAAAAGTGTCCAGGTGTCACAGAAGCACAGGAGGCCACTTCAGAAAGGCGAGCAGAACTCCCACTGGGAAAGAAGCTCACCAAAAGTTTTTCCCAAAGCTCAATGCACTTTAACTCTGATGGGAAGACTCCCAAGGGGTCCCCGGTGGCTCACAAAGACTCAAAGCTCTATAAGACATTGCCTTTGAGGAAGCTGGAGGGCAGCAATTGGAGATGCCGGGGACCTTTCAGCTACTGCTTTCTGAACCGAGGGCAGGAGGAAGATGAGGATGAGGATGAAGAGGAGGGAGAACCCACCCACCGGGTCTCTTGCCTCTTTCCACTACAGATGACTAAAGCCATGCCAGACCCAAGCAGCCCACCCCTGGCTGTTGGGATTCAAAAGCAAGAAGGGGAGCTGTCCAGGTGTCCAGTGCTGAAGGGTTGGGCAGAAGACCCAAGTGGCCCAGATGACATGGACTTTAGCAACCTGGCTTTCGATGCCCGGATTGCAAGAATAAGTGCCCTAAAGCAGAGCACATATGCAATGCCCGATGGGTTCCTCGCAGCCCAAAATGATGCCAATGAGCTGCTCTGCCTTGTCAGGGCAACCAAGGGGAAGAGAGAGGAGTCACGCCCTGAAGCATATGACCTTACACTTTCTCAGTACAAGCAACTGTTGTCCATTGAGTCCAGACAGTTAGGAAGTGCCTGTAGGAAGATGGCGATGGCCGAGAAAAGCCCAGAAGAGATGCTCCTAGCGATGACTTCCAGCTTTCAAGTGCTCTGTTGCCTAACAGAAGCTTGCATGCGATTGGTGAAAGTCGTGAGCTCCGAAACACAGCGGCAGGAAATTGTGGTGAAGATCGACGAAGTGGTCATCAATTACATCTGCCTCCTGAAAGCTGCCGAGGCAGCCACAGGAAAGACCACTGGGGACCCCAGTGTCGGGCTGTCCACGCGACATTCAACCACCATGGCCGCCCTCGTAAGCACACTAACACGTTCTCTCAAGATGCTTTTAAATAAATAAAGTGTGAAAGTCACATCATACTCTACCTTTGCAAAGCCATACATGAACTTTTATTTACTTTTCTTTCTTGTACGATGAACAGATGTCTCCTTTCTTCTCTCTGTATATTTTGTTCTTTTGTATAAAAAGGAGATAAAAGGTCACATTGGTGAAATGTTGAAATGTACTAATCAGATGTATTCTGTTTATATTATACATATATATGTGTAAAAGAACTATACAATGATGACATTTGGCTATTTTTCATATAGTCAAAACTCGGGGGATATGAAGTGAAATTTTAAATTCTACCATGTTAGAGCAAAACAATAAATCCCATCTCCTTTCCTTCCAAGTGAATACTTGGAGACCATGTCGTTCATATTTAGAAGTAAAAAAAAAAAAAAAAGAAAGAAAAAGAAAAGCAAGAAATCACAATGTATATAAAACAGTACTTATGTTTTAAAATTATGATTTTAAAGTATTGGAAATAGCAAAAAGACATTTAAAATTCAAGAAGCTATTATGAGTTATTAGAGAAGATATATAATAAATTGATTTTTTTGCTCATAGCATTTGGTTATCTGATGCTTTCTTCCAAGAATCCTATATTTTTCATTTTGGCTTCTTCCATTTGGGTTCCAAAAGGGTGGAGGTGGATTCTATTGTGTCAACACAAATGCTCTGCCTGATGTTCCTAGAATTCAAATATTTCCCAATAGAAGAACAGAGAGAATGATGGGCAGGTTCCTGGGTAATACCTAGTTATTTTAGTATTAGTAATTATCTAATTACATCAAATGAAAGAATAATACTAAAATTAATTTGTTGATGAAAAGAAGGATCTGCTTTGACTAAATGTCAAAATACGTAAACCAAAGACATCATCCACCTCCCTGACTCAACCATGAAATTCAGCATTCCCTTAAGAGTGACAGAACATTTAGTAAAGTATTTGCAAAATTACAAAAAGAAAAGGAACATTTGATGATTATTTAAAGCAAGTGCAGATCCAATTGTGTAAAGCAGACTGCACCAGCCCTAGTCCCATCGCAGATCGAAGCTCTTAGCATCACAGAGCTCCATGCCACACCTCTACCGGGGCCGATACTTCCAACCCAACTTGGAATTGCAGCCTAGCGCTGGGACAAAATTTCAAATCTGGAATGTTCAGAAAATCAGAGAGAGAGATGGCTACTCTAATATAGAAGCCATGATGAAACAAGTATTTATTAAATGATCTAATCTGGATTGGCTTATAGATACATGAAAGCTGAAAAACAAAATAACAAGTGGTCCATTTGACCACTCTTGGTAAAACTGATAGAACGCAAAGAAGTTTTCAGAACTGTCGTCTCTCTCAAAATGTATCTTTGGGTCAAAGCAAAAGAATGCAAACTCTGCAATTGTAAAATAAAATTGACATGTACATATATAGTTCATGGATCATTTAGTGCTCAAGCTACACACACTCCTATTTATGTATGTGGCTCCTTAAAATATGACAGGAGTATATGCCAAGTACAGATATTTCCATTTTTGTCGCCTACTGGACAGGAGGCATAACACAGTCTACAGTCACTGTCTCATCAGTTGTTCTATAGAGACTCAATAACAAAAGTCACACATAGTTGTAGATGGTAGCATACAAAAGGAGTTTAGACATGTGTTATTAAAAATAATGTTTAAATAAAACATTATTTTATTACAATTCTAAATATTGATGTTTGATATTGAGAAATATTAATGGTGTTTACTGTGGAAATTTTTGGTAAATATTCTGTGTACTAAAATACTAACATTAATAGGATGTGTGTTCGATGTCAGACAATGTGCTAAACATATCCCATATGTTATCTCATTTAATCATCACAGCAATCTTATGGTTTGGACACTGCCATTAATTCCCTATGGAGGCAGTATTGTTCCATAGTTAAGGACATAGGGTTTGAGGTGAGAAACTTGATTTAAGTTTAAACTCTGCCATTTTCTAGCCCTCTTATCTTGGGAAAGCCAATCAGTTTTTCTCTGTGTCTCATAGGGTTGTCATGAGTTTTCAGTAAAATTATGTATGTAAAGTTCTTACCACAACACCTGACAGATTAAATAATTAATGTTAGATTTTATTATCATCATCATGATTGTATTAAATACAGTGCCCAAGAGAATATGTGGGGATATTTGCTTTATATGCATATCGTATCCATGTGTGGAATACATTATGTGTATTGCATATGTATAAATGAAATGCCCAAGGAAGGAATGCTTTTTGTTCAAATCACATATTCAGTTGGAACAACTTCTTTGTTCATTTCAGTTCTTGGAGAGGCCTAGCGAATTATCTCTGGGTCTTTCTAACCCATTTTCCGTTATCTGTGGGTGCTCCAATAACTTTCTGTTTCTTATAAACCAACTCTTTACTACTTAGAAAACCTTAAGGGGCCCCCTACTCACCATCCATGGGATCCTAAGTGGGGTACATGTCCAGTAGAGTATAGGAAGAATGATTTTGTTGATTTTTCTCTAGCCTTTTTTTATGTTTGCATATATTTTATAATGGCATAATAGTACAGTGGTATATGTACATCATTTTAAATAAATAAATGAATTAACAAGCATATGCCTGGTGAATGTATGCAAAAAGAGTGTCGCAGGTAGGGTTGCATTTACTCAAGTTTGGAAACCACTGGAGTAGATAATAGAAATTCCTTGTACTGGAGGTTCTTTACATTTATTCCCCAGCCTCATTTTTCAACTGTATCACCTCTCATTTTTATTAATTTTTTATCATAAAATGTTCAAACATACACAAAAGTAGGCACAATGATGCAATGAACCAATGTGTACTCATCATGTACCAATTCATGTCTAATTTATTTTTGCTATCTCTACACATGTCCTTCCACACTGTATATATTAGCAAACCTCTGACATTATAGCAGTCAATCCATGAATATTTCAGTGAGAACTTTCAATAGGTAAGAACTTTTCAACTTAATCACAATGCCTTTTTCACACTTTTAAGAATTATTAAATGTTACAAAAATAAATGATAAAGTGAAAATCCCTATAAATCCAACCCCAAAGAGTCATTGTGAACAATTTAGGGTATCTGTTTTCAATGTTTTTCTGTATATATACTCACGTTATTATTATTGTATGTGTTTATGGACTTAACTTTGGACTTAACAAGGTGTTCTGACCACATTTGCCCTTCTGTTTGAGTCTCAGATACACCATGCTTTCTGTAGGTGGATTGGCTAGAATAGATACAATTGACACGCACAAAAATACTGTATAACACTCAGATGAACAAGCACCATAGCATCAGGCTTATAGTAAATCCACAACTCATACCATTGCCTCAGACATTAACATTAACACAGACTCACTCCCAGGCCCAACCAGAATTAGTCTAATCACAAAATAAATTATTTTTCCAAAAAAGAAAGATAATCTTGAAATGAGCAGCTACAGCAGCACTGCAATGGGTTGATTCCTTTTGCTATGAATTTCATCTTTCATTAGGACTCATCTTAGGAACAATAATCTTCACTTATGTTCCTGTTACATACATTTCTGAATGCCAGCTATTGTTTTGGTGTTACTTCTGAGCTACTAGATGGCCCTAATTCCTCCTGGGTTACTCTTGGTTTGGCAATGGGAGAAGTTTGTTTTGTGACCCATTTTCGCCAT